AGGAGATCAAAGAATTAATGGAGGAACTAGATGTGTATAAGAGACAGACTCTGGGAAAAGCAATGAAAGCAGAATAGATGAAATGGAAGAACGAATAAGTAATCTTGAGACACAGAAATAAAAAGAACCAAAACAGAAAGGAAAGAGAAGTACGAAGGAAAAAGAATGAAGAAAGACTTCGGAACTATCTGACTCCATGAGGAAAGGAAATATAAGAGTTATAGGAATTCCAGAAGGAGAGGAGAGAGATGTAGGAACAGAGAAAATATTCATGGATATAATTGAAGAGAACTTCCCAAATGAGAAGAAGGAGCTGAAAATTGATATACAAGAAGCAAGAAGAACACCAAACTTCCACGACGAAAGGAAAAACACAGCAAGCACATAATAGTAAAGCTCCCAAGAATCCAGGACAAGGAAAAAATAATGAAGCTGACAAGAGGGAAGAAACAGATAACATTCAAAGGAAAACCAATCAGGCTGACATCAGACTTCTCTGAAGAAACACTACGGGCAAGGAGAGAGTGGAGGGACATAGTCAACAGACTCCAAGAAAACAGATGCCAACCAAGAATACTCTATCCCGCAAAGCTCTCTTTCCTCCATGAAGAAAGAATATGGACCTTCCCAGACAAAGAGAAACTCCGGAATTTCATTAAGACTAAACCCCCACTCCAAAAATAACTACAAGGAATCCTAAAGCCAGAACCTCAGAGGGACGAATAACAACGAAAGAAGACCAAAAAAAAAAAAAAAGTTATTAAAAGAATAAATAAATAAAATCAAAGGAAAGACAAACATAATGGCAAATACAGATGCTAACATATCAATATTAACTCTAAATGTAAATGGACTAAACTCTTCAATAAAAGACACAGAGTTGCAGCCTGGATTAAGAAACAAAACCAACCTTTTGCTGTCTCCAGGAAACACATTTAGCTACAAAAGATAAAAATAGGCTCAAAGTCAAAGGATGGAAAACAATCCTACAAGCAAATGGGCCAAAAAGAGAAGCAGGAACAGCTATACTTATATCAGAAATAAAACAGACTTCAAACTCAAAAAATAAAAAGAGACCCCAATGGTCACTACATTATGATTAAGGGGACAATACTTCAAAGAAGAAATAACACTCATTAACATATACTCACCAAACGAAAGAGCACCAAATATATCAGACACTGTTGTCCTCTCTGAAAACAGACATCAGAGAAACACATTGTAGTGGGAGCTTCAACACACCACTATCAACAATGGATAGATCAACAAGACAAAAATAAGTAAGAAAACTAAAGCTCTAAATAAGGACCTAGAGCATTTGGGCTTAACAGACATCTATAGAACACTTAAACCCAAAAAAAAACGGAGTACACATTTTTCTCAAGCGCACACGGATCATTCTCCCGGATCGATCACATACTGGGGCACAAGACAAACATCAACAGATACACTAAGATTGAAATCATACCAACCATCTTTTCTGACCACGAAGGCATCAAACTAGAAATAAATCATAAAAAGAAGGCAAGGAACTATCCTACCTCATGGAGATTAAAAGCCACACTACTGGAAGACCACTGGACTAACGAGGAGATCAAAGAAGAAATTAAAAATTCTTTGAATTGAATGACAAGGAGGACACCAATATCCTAAATGTATGGGATGCAGCAAAAGCAGTAATAAGAGGAAAATATATAGCCAATAGAAGCTCACATCAAAAACAAGAAAGAACTCAAAGAAACAACCTAATCTCGAAGCTCAAAGATCTAGAAAAAGAACAACAAAAAAACCCCAGAACCAGTAGAAGAAAAGAAATAATAAAAACCAAAGCAGAAATAAATGAAATTGAACTAAAAAAACAATCCAAAAGATCAATGAAACCAAGAGCTGGTTCTTTGAAAAATAAATAAAATAGACAAACCCCTAGCCAGGCTCTCAAAAGGAAAAAAGGGAGAAAGCACAAATACACAGAATCATAAATGAAAGAGGAGAAATCACAACGGACACAGCAGAAATCAAAAGAATAATCAGTAACTACTATAAACAGTTATATGGAAACAAGTCAACAATCTAGAGGAGATGGACAAATTCCTACAACTCTACAATCACCCAAAGCTAGATAAAGAAGAAATAGAACACCTAAACAGACAATTACAAGCAGCGAAATTGAAATGGTCATTAAAAACCTCCCCAAAACAAAAGCCCAGGACCTGATGGATTTACAAATGAATTCTACCAAACATTCAGAGACGAATTAGTGCCTATCCTTCACAAACTCTTCCAAAAATTGAGAAGGAAGGGACAATACCAAACACGTTCTATGAAGCCAATATTACACTAATACCAAAACCGAATAAGGACAACACAAAAAGGAAAACTATAGGCCAATCTCCCTAATGAACACTGATGCAAAAATCCTCAATAAAATTTTAGCTATCAGAATCCAACAATGTATCCATAAGATAATTCACCACGACCAAGTTGGATTCATTCCAGGGCACAAGGATGGTTTAACATCCGAAAATCAATCAACGTTATCCAACACATCAACAAAAAGAAATAAAAAACCATATGATAATATCAATAGATGCTGAGAAGCTTTCGACAAAGTGCAACACCCATTCATGATAAAAGCCTTGAAATTCTTGGGATACAAGGAACATACCTCAACATCATAAAGGCCATCTCTATGACAAGCCAACAGCCAGTATCATTCTCAATGGTGAAAGCTGAAAGCAATTCCATTAAGATCTGGAACAAGACAAGGATGTCCACTCTCACCACTGCTTTTCAATATAATACTGGAAGTCCTAGCCAGAGCAATAAGACAAGAGAAAGACATCAAGGAATCCAAATAGGAAAAGAAGAAGTCAAACTATCACTATTTGCAGATGATATGATAATATACAAGAGAACCCCAAAAATCTCCACAGAAAAACTAATTCAACTCATCAATCAATTCAGTAAAGTGGCAGGATACAAAATCAACACGCAAAAGTCAGTAGCCTTCCTATACACAAACAATAAATCTGAAGAGAAGAAATAAAAAAAACCATCCTTTTATTATCGAAACAAAAAAATCAAATATTTGGGAATAATCTAACAAAAGAGGTAAAGGGACCTATAACAAAGAAAAACTATAAAACACTGTTAAAGAAATAGAAGAAGACACAAAGAAATGGAAAGACATCCCTGCTCATGGATTGAAGAATAAACATATTAAAATGGCCATCCTACCAAAAGCAATATACAGATTCAATGCTATTTCCAATCAAATCTCAATGGCATTCTTCAAAGAAATAGAACACTTATTGATGAATTCATATGGAATCACCAAAAACCCCGAATAGCCAAAGCTCTACTGAAAAAAAAAGAAGGAAATGGAGGCATCACACTCCCAGACTTCAAACTATACTACAAAGCCATAATCATCAAAACTGCATGGTATTGGAACAAGAACAGACATACAGACCAATGGAATCGAATAGAAAATCCAGAAATAAACCACAGATTATGGTCAACTAATCTTGACCAAGGAGCAAAGACTATGCATTGGAGCAAAGAAAGTTTGTTCAATAAATGGTGCTGGGAAAACTGGGTCGCTACATGCAAAAGAATGAAGCTTGACCACTACCTCACACCATACACAAAAATCAACTCAAAATGGATTAAAGAACTAGACATAGACCTGAAACCATAAAATACATAGAAGGGAAATATAGGCGAAAACACTACGGGATTGCACATCAAAGACATCTTTACAGACACATCACCCAAAGCAGTGATAGTGAAGAGAAGATAAACAGCTGGGACTACATCAAATAAAGAGCTTCTGCACAGCAAAAGAGACAATAACAAAAACAAAGAGAAACCCCACCAACTGGAGAACATTTTGCACCCAACACTAATGATAAAGGACTGATCACAAAAATCTGCAAAGAGCTGATGAGACTCAACAACAACAAAGAAAATAATCCAGTCAAAAATGGGCAGAAGAGCTAAAAAGAAACTTCTCTGAAGAGGAAATGCAAATGGCCAACAGACATATGAAAAAATGTTCAACATCACTTGTAATCAGGGAAATGCAAATCAAAACTACCATGAGATACCATCTCACACCAGTGAGAATGGCACATATTAAAAAAACTAGCAACAACAAATGTTGGCGAGGATGTGGAGAAAAAGGAACTCTTGTGCACTGTTGGTGGGAGTGCAAACTGGTCCAACCATTATGGAGAGCTGTGTGGAGATTTCTGGACCTACTAAACATAGAGCTTCCATATGATCCAGCAATTCCACTCCTAGGTATTACCCAAAGGACACAGAAACATCAATTCCAAAGAGCACCTGCACTCCTATGTTATAGCAGCACTGTTTACAATAGCTAAGCTTTGGAAACAACCCAAATGCCCAAAATAGATGACTGGATCAAGAAGATGTGGTACATATATACCATGGAATATTACTCAGCATTCAAAAAAAGATAAACACATGCCATTTGCAGCAACATGGATGGCACTGGAAGGGATCATGCTCAGCGAAATAAGCCAAAAAGAAAAAGAAAAATACCGGATGGTCTCACTCATAGCAGGAATCTAGAAAACTTAAATAAGGGACCAGGAAAATGAATATAAGAAAGTGAAAATCAAAATCAACAAAAAACTATGAACCAGAGACACTTTGGGGGTGGGGGGCGGGAGGGGAAGGATTGGGGTCAGAATGGGGCGTTTGCAATTGTATGGGGGAATATAAAAAAAATTTAATATTTAAAAAAAAAAAAAAACCCAAATATGCCTGCTCCTGCTGGCTTCCTGGAATGGTGGTTTGGGCCAGTCCAGAGGTTGATTCAACTTAAAGGGAACAGCAAATGGTGTTTCTGCCACGGCTCACGCAATTTTAAAATGGCTCCAGTTTTGTCAACTTTTCAAAAGACCTTACCCAAAAGGCAAAGCAGGTGACCTGAATTGATTCTTAACCTTCTTCTTGCATGTCTTTTTAAGGATTCTCCTCGTATCTGAAATATCTTCTGGAACACTATAAGAAAATTACGAGCCACACCCAGGAACTTCAGGTATTCTTTTCATTTCGAAAGTTTATTTCAGCTCGTCCTTGGCATTTGCATAGCATTGTGCACTTTGATCTTGTTAGCGCACATCCTCCCGAAGGTGAAACAATATCTCCATTTGCACATGAAGAGACTCAGACAGGGCTGTGGGGTCTTCCCGGAGGGCAAGGGCAAAGACAGGATGCTGTTTTCCTCTAGTCAAAATCTAAAAGACCTAAGTCCCATCAGATCTTAAAAGCTGCATTCAGGGGCCTTCCCTGGTGGCGCAGGCAGTTGAGCGCAGTGCTGTGAAGCTGTCCACAGCCTCTACAGTGCAGGTTCGAGCCCGGCCAGCCAGTAAGATACCCACATGGCACAGCAGACCTCTCCTGTCTCACCTGCTGCTCCCCTCAGCAGTGTATTTCATCGGTCAGCCTGTTCTGTTCCCCGCTTTGTCTCTGATGAATTCTTTTACCCTCCCACACATCTGGCTTGTACTCCAGCTCTTGTATGCATAAATAAATAAATCTTAAAAAAAAAAAAAAGCTGCATTCATTAACTGCAGTGGAAGAAGTGCAGCTAGCCACAGTTCAGGGGCAAAATTACCAAAAATTACATAATGGCTACAAGTTAGAGGCAAAATGACCCTTAGGGATTCTGTCCTTCTGGGATCTATGGCCATAATGCTGTCTGATAAACAACCACAAGGTGTTAGTGGCATTCCACCATCACTGTTCACCTCGCACACACTTGGGATCAGCTGCCAGCTGGGTCACCCCTCTCAGATGGGCTTGTGCACACGTGTAGATGTAATAAATAAATAAATAAATCTTTTTTAAAAAAGAAAAAAAAGAAAAGAAAAACACGGAAATGACTCTTTAGTTATTCCTGTTCCCCCCCTCAGCTTCAGTTTTCTTTTCTCTCCCTTCAGATCAAGATCAGCAGTTCTCAGGAGACTCAGAAGATCTTGCTGCAAGAAAAGCTACAGGAGCATCTGGCTGAGAAGGAGAAGCTGAACCAGGAAAGGCTGCAGCAAGAGGAGAAGCTAAAAGCCAGAATCAAGCTGCTGATAGAAGAAAAGGTGGTAAGGTGGTCCTGCCATTTTCTTCACAATTAGAAACTGCTGACATGGGCTTTCCCACAGGAAACTGAAGACAGAACTCAGAGGGCGAAATCTCAGCAGCCCCTTGTTGGGTGCCATGAACCAAATTAATGAAACATGTGAATGACATTAAAGACATTAACGTGAAGCTTAAGTTCTAAAGCTCAGAACAGAATCAGCCTGCAAAGGCAGGTTATTGGAATTTCTGGAAATGATTATCCTCTTTGTTTATATGTTGCATTTGATTCTCCAAATCCAAGTCATTACTGCAGGTCCCAGTGTATAACTGACAAACTGCCTCCAAGAATGTGTAAGACCGACCTCACAGTATTTCAGTCCTTTGCTTTCTCTTCATACATGTCAGGGGGGAGCAAATAACCAAAATTGCTTTCGTTTCTAGAAACCAAAGCAATTAGAGGCTGTTTGTACTGCAGGTGCTCTCTAACTTAAAGGTGCCCGAGAATTACCTGGGATGTGGTTAAAATGCAGATTCTGCTCAGCACACCCAGGCTCTGCATTTCCACAAGCTCCCAGCTGGGACGGGCAGCGCGGGATGCCTGACCACATTTTCAGCAGCAAAATCTTAAAGGAAGCTTTTCCCAAAGTTGCCTGATAGGAACCAGCTGAATGCTTGTTGAAAATACAATCCTAGGGGGCCTCCCCTGGTGGCGCAGCGGTTGAGCGCAGGGCTGCGAAGTTGCCCACAGCCTCTGCAGCGCTGGTTCGATCCCCACCTGCCGGTGAGGGTCCCACATGGTGCGCAGAACTCCCCCGCCGCGCCCCCTGCTCCCTCAACAGTGTATTTCATCAGTCTGCCTGCTCTGCTCCCCACACTGGCTCTGGTGAATTCTCTCACCCTCCTGCGCTTCTGACTGTACCCAGTGCTTGTATAAATAAATAAATAAATAAATAAATAAATAAAATACAATCCTAGGGCCCTACCCTAGACCCATTTAGCCAGAATCTCTGAAAAATGATGAGAAACTGCATTTAATAAGCCAGTTCTCATCATGGTCCAAGAGTGGGTCTTTTTTGACATTCAGGGACCTGTGATGACTTAAGGCACCTCATCACCAGGGTCCTAGGTCAGCAGTTCAGAACTTTGGCATTTAAGAAACCAAAAGAAACAATGCCTTGCACCTTCCCTCCCCCCTCAGGCTCTGATCTAATGGGGTGAGGGTGTGGCTTGTGCCTGGGATTTGTAGAGGGTAAAACCAGCAAAAAACCTAGAAATCTCCAAAATCTTCACAAACTCCCCACCTCCTACCTCACACCTCTCTGATTCACATCTCCCTTTCCAAATGTTGTCTTTTATTTTAATTTGGGGTTGACGTGCTCCCTGGTGGGTGTATGGTACATTCCTGTTCCACATTGCTCTGGGCTCCAGCCTGAGCCTCCCCGATGCCCACTTGTAGCAGCCTCCCTTATGGACCGTTCCAAAGGACTGGTTTCAAAGCCCCCTGAAACAGAGCAAAGCTTAGGGCACACTGCCCCTTGCAGAGGGGGGAGGCGGCATCACTCTCCCCAACAATGACCTGCAGATGGTCATTACCGCTCCCAAGAAGGGTCACCACTCCCCAGACACAACTGTTGACCAGCTTGACCCTTGAGACTCATCTGGAAGTACCAGCCCAGATCTTGGCACCAAGCCCAATTTTACAATAGCAGAGGACACTGTCACCCACTCCTTTCTAGAAGTACACATGTCAAAGATCATTAACTCAGGCCTCCCTGGTAGCCTAGGGGTTAAGTCTCAGTGCTATCACTGCTGTGCCTGAGTTTGATCCCTGGCCAGGGAGCTACCCACATGGCACAGCAGACCTCTACTGTCTCTCCTGCTACTCCCCTCAGCAGTGTATTTCAGTGGATCCGCCTGTTCTGCTCCCCACTCTGTCTCTGGTGAATCCTCTCACCCCTCCCACACCCCACACCTCTGGCCTGCATCCCAGTTTTTCTACTAAAAAATAAATTATCTCTTTAAAAAAATCATTAACTCAGTTTTTTCATGAATCCTACCTGTTTGGGGACTCTTTCAATGGTAAGAAATTCCAGTGCCTTTATCCAGCTAACATCTTTTAAAAAAAAAAGAACTGTTAACCACATTATAAGTGATCTAACGGTGCACGCGCTGTTTCCGTCAGGGGTCAGCAAGCTCCCCCCACATAGACTAAAAATAGTAAACTGTAAATCCTCACTTAACATCACCCGTGTGTTCTTGGCAGCTCTCACTTGAAGCAGAAGCACATAGAACAAACCAATTTGATCTTAGACTCATTGATAAACAAAATTAGGTTCCTAAGGCAGACTTCTGACCACAGAAACGTCACCAAACTTCAGCATAAAGACCCAAAACACTTCTAACATTAAACAATGATGTTTTCATTCCTTCATTGGTTCATTTTCCAACCCATTTATTCCAGTTCAGGGTCAAGGGTGGCAGGAGCCTCTCCCTACAGCTCATGGTCAAGCTGGCGCCCACCTGGACCGGATGCCCTTCCCTCTCAGGGCACTTGCCCACACGCACGCACACACCATACATGAACACAAACACACACGAACACACACACACAGAGACTGACTGGGACAATTGAGACATTCCCATGAACTTTACATGCACATCTGTGGAGAGAACCCACACAGACCACAGAGGGTGCTGGGGCGGGGGAGGGACACACAAACCGCACAGAGAGTAGCCCCCGCCAGGAATGGACTTTATTTGTTACCATCAATGTTTAAGGAAATGAAGTTGAACAAAATGACATCATTCAAGAACCTGTTACATATATTTACTTCTGCAGGCCAGACAGTCTTTGTTGTGGCCACTCAACTCTGCTGCTATAGCATAAAGGCAGCCGCGGGCAAGACACAAACATGAACATGGAGGCGTTCCAATAAAACTTTATTAACAATAAACAGACAGGGGGCCAGGTTTGGCCATAGTTTGCCAACCCCTGGTTTACAACAAGGCTCTAGAGTCAAGTAAATTGGGTGGTCCTCAATCTCTCTAAGCTTGCTTCTTCCCCTGCAACGTGGAGATGACAGAAGAAATGAGTGATTCTTATTCACAAGGGGTTATCGTGTGCCAAGCATGTCATGTTCATCATCCCACCTGCTCTTCACATCAACCCAAATGCAGGAAGCACTCTTATGTTCCCACTGCACAGGGAAGGAAACTGAGGTACCCACCCTTCTCACCTGCCCAAAGATATAGACCTAGGAAGGACTGACCCAGACTCTAGTCTGGGCCTGTGCTCTCAGCAGCTGGGCCAAGCTGCCCACAGTCTCCCCACGGGGTTGTCCTGAGCTGTGAACAGCTGAGCCATGAATTGCTAGCCAAGTGTCCACACTCCTGCCATGGTAACTCTATTAAACAATGGTCATTGGCTTTCAGGCTTTGGAGGAAAGCATTACTCAAGAGAGAAACAAAGTGCAAGAAGCACTAGAGGAAGAACGGAAGAGAGTCCAGGAGCTGCAGAATTGCTTCGCCCGCCAGAAGAAGGTACGTAGCTCAGACACAGAGTTGGCCTGAGGCCAGATCAAGTCCACGCAGCTAGAAAGGGTTGACCCGGGACTCTGGTCTGGGCCTGCAGCTCCTGAGCGCATGCTCTCAGCTCCTGGGCTAAGCTGCCCAGTCTCCCCATGGGATTGTCCTGAGCTGTGAACAGCTAAGTCACAAAGTGCTGGCTGAGTGTCCACATTCCTGCCATGGTAACTATTAAACAATGGTCATTGGCTTCCAGGCTTTGGAGGAGAGCATTACTCAAGAGAAAAGCAGAGCAAAAGAAGCATTAGCGGAAGAACAGACCAGAGTCCAAGAGCTGGAGAACCTTTTAACCCAGCAGAAGGAGGTATGCAGCTCGGGGAGATAGAGTCGGCTCGAGCCCAAATCTGGCTTGTGGGCCTCATGGAAGTAAGTTCAGAACCTCCACTGGTGGGGGATTGAGAAGGGGGAGCTTGCCTTGCTCCTTGGGCTGGCTCAGCTATTTTGAGAAGAATCTTGGGGCACTCAAGGAAAGACCAAAGAGTTGATCTTGAGACTTGGAAAAACTGCAGAGAGCATAAAATGCAGGTGTAGATAGGGCTTGAAGACAAGTTGGGACTGTCACCCCATCTCTTTGGCATGAAGATTGCATCCCAAAGCACAGAAATGCAGGAATTGTGGAGTCCTGGGCCTTTGGGGCTTTGTGAATCTTCCATTAAATCATCCCAAAATCATCCAGCCTTCAGCTCCACCACTGAAAAATTTCTCCAGCCAGGGTTGTCCCTCCCAATGTTGAGTCTTGTCCAGATAAAAAATCCTTCCTCTAAGTTAAGTTGAATCAAGCTTTTTCTCCCAGAAAGGTAGTAATCCTCCCCCTGGGGTCCTCCAAGGCCTACCCACTTCCAAAGAAGTGGGTGTTTGAAAATAGAGACCCTGTTCGTCTCCAGACTCCAATGCCCTTGTTTCTCCTTATGTGCCTCACAGGACTGCAGCCTGGCCTTCATCCACTCCTCTGACCTATTCTGCTCTCCAGAAGTCATAGACAAGCAGCTGACTGGCTGAAAAGGGCTTGTGGACATGTCATATTTGACCTTAGAGTGTTTTACTTAAAGTTCACAAAATTTATTTAAAAATCCAGATTTCCACCCTCTCTTAAAAAGTCGGAAAATCTGGCCCTTGTTTCCACTTGGCCAAAATGGACTAGAGTTGAGCCAAGCAGCAGTATTTGCCACAATCCCCACCATTCCCTATTGCATTAAATGCAGACCACTTGCTTTTTGGTGTCTGGCCCCTATGCACATCTGATCTTGCAATCCATCACCGATTTTCTTCTAAACCGAGGTTCCCAGACCAACACGTTCTCCAACCTTGGTGGCCTAGGACAAGACTCTCCTCTCCCTCATTGAAGACTTTATACTTCTATTGATGTGCTCAAAAAAGCTTTGGGGGAAGCTCTATTGTATTATTGACTCATACTTACCTCATGGGCATCCTCAGCTCCCTGTGTCTTTTTCACATCATCCTTTCATTAGCTCTTCAAGCCAGAGGCAGCACAGAGAAGTGAAGAGGGCAGACTTTGCTGTCAGATGAGACATGGTTTCACTCCCTGGCTACTGATGGCCTGGAGCAGATCTCTCAATGCCTGCTTTCTTTAAAGGGTGCAGCTAGTGAGGATTAAAGATAATGTCCAGTGAAGCATGTGACCGAGGACCACCACTCAGGGAGTGGCAGCTGTTGCGATCACTGCCACTACTGCCAGCTCCCTTCTGTCTGGGCACTGGTTTGCTCTCAACCCTACTCCAACCTCACTCCCCAGAGTGGAACCCTACATCCTCGCCCACCCACCCCAAGGGAGAAACAAGGAGACTGCAGGACAGAGCTCATGCTGTTTGACCTGATCCACAGTGAGGAGCGGGGGCTCACTTGGGGTCCCCTACGCAGCTGTGCCCCTATCACCAGTGTCACTGAAGTTTAATGCTGAGTTATTTTCTGGGGCAAGGGATGGGGGGATCAGGAAGATTAAGGTCTCGAAAAGACTCAAAGGGATCCAAGGCCACTGAGAGGTCAGCAGCACAGGACTGGGGGAGGCCCTTGAATTTAGAGTTTTCGAGGTCATGGGGCACGTCACGAGAGAGATTTAAGGAAAGTGTGGCAGGGACAGCCCAACAGCAAGGAGGAGCTGTGCTAGGTCCCCCCAGGCCTCGCCAGCCCTCTTCTGGCACAGCCCCCCTCCCCAGGTTCCTTGTCCCACCCACAGAGCTTGTGCAAACTCAGTTATGGATTTGTTTTATCAGAGCTTCTATCACTAGCAAGTGAATCTTAAGGGCAAGATCATCATTGATCATAATGTAGGGTTTGAGGCACCAGAAGGACCCACTGCCATCACCTGCCTGGGCACTTGGGGGAGTAAATGGGGGACAGCCCACATGAGTGAGTCCTGCTGGACAGCCCACCAGTCATGGACTGTCAGAGGACTACAGAGAAGCAGAGGTCAAAGCCCCGAGTGTAGACAAGAGCAGAGGCAGTGGAGTCGACCCGAAGTCCCTGGAAAATGCTTGAAGTCTCTTTCACAGCTTCCCCAGACCCTGCCTCAGTGCTCAGAATGAGGTGACACTCCCCAAGGTTACTGCCTTCTGCTCTGCAGGGCTGGCGCTGGGACAGCGGAGTGTGGCCTGGGGCTTACGCTGCCTTTCTCTGTAGCTTTGCAGCCATAGGTTGGGTCAAATGCTTTGGGCAGGACCCTAGACACTGGGTATATTGGAAGCCAGTTCCAGCTCTCTGATAGCCAGGCTGGCATTTAAAAGGTGACCCATCTGAAGCTGGAGCCCTTTCCCGGGTGACTAGAAGCAGGGGCTGGTGGTAACTGACATCCAAGGGCAATTAGCATAAAGCCATTTGACTGACTAGCAGATAGTAATAGCAGCTTCTTGGCTAAAATTCTTGGTGATGAGCAGCAGATACTGACCACACTTTCCTCCCCACAACCTGTGAGATCTTCCCCCTTGAGGATAATCCCCACCCTTCTAGAAATGGGAAGGTCACAGTTCATGAATCCACTACGATGCCCTCCTCCCAAAACCTGGTTCTCTTTAAGCGATTTATCTCAATAACGGGAGAGTCCATTCTTAATGAGATTCTGCTTATCGGAGAGGCCGCCTGGCGTGGTGATAAGAGCTTGAGCTCCAAACAGGACAGGTCGGGCTCCCGCTGCTGGCCGCAGCTTTCCCCGAGCCTCGTCTCCGGCCTGGCTCTGCCTCGGCCATGCTGCATGGCCCCGGCCCCGACCAACCTTTCACTCCTCAGTGTCTCATCTAGCAAATGGGCCATGCACAGCATCCCCTGGCAGAGATGCTGTGAATGCGGGGTGCTGGCACAGCCCCCCACCCTGGTCAGCCACCCAGGGATTAGCCATGCTCACTGTCCAGGGGACTGGCCTCGTCTGCAGCTCTGCTGCTCCCCCTCCCCTCGGACAGGCGTCCAAAGACACTGGCTGTTGGTTTGCAGGTTTTGGAGAACAATCTGGCCAGGAGAAAAGAAAAGCGAAGGAGCCTTAGAGATGGAGAAACGGAAAGTTCAAGATCTGGAGAACCACTTAACTCAGCATAAGGAGGTACGGGAGGCAGAGAGAATGGGGCGGCTGTGGCACTAGCACGGCTCTGGACGGAGCTCCCCGCAGACACAAGGCCACGTGTTCAGGCCCTGATGTAGAGCATGGGGTGCAGAGGCAGAGGCCAGAGCAGCGCCTGCAGTTGAGGGCCAACACCACCTCGCACAGCCCACAAGCCGTGTGACATGGGGCAAGGCAGGCAGCCTGCTGTGCCTCAGTTTGCCCATCTGTAAAATGGGAGGGTAACTGAGCCTGACTCCTGGGACTAAATGTGTGTGTGTGTGTGTGTGTGTCTACAGTATTGGAACTGTACCTGGTGCAAAGAGCACCCTCTACGTAGCCTTCCCTGCTAACTGCCTAGGGGAGAGAGGTGCCCGCCAGGAGAGGGCCCTGGTGGCATCTAGGTCGGCTCCCCAGCCATCAGCCTCCTCCTGTCATTGACAGGCAGCCCAAGGAGGGGTGTTAGCCAGGTGGCCCAGATGCTCAAGTCACTCCCTGGGAGGCAAACCAGGGCTCTGGGGTGCCTGGAAGCCAGGGAACCAAGCACTGGGTGAGCCCTGCTCAGGGCTCCAGGGATGGAGAGACACAGACAGACATGTGCCAGCCCAGTTGGAACCTTCAGAACCTGAGCTAATGGCACTGAAGGCTTTGATTCAGTTTCCTTCATCCGGGCACAAATATTTACTGAGCACCAGAAGTGTACCCAGTCCTGTTGGGTGGCACCGGTGTACCCATGACAACCACTCTAGGGTGGAGGGACAGACAACCACGAATACAAAAGCACAGAGTAACTCCAGGCCACACCCTGGGCAAGAGGGTGGCCCACAGGCAGGGAAGACAGGAGAGCTCGGAGGACTAAGAATACACGTGCTAGTTCTAATCCCAGCTCTGTCTCCAACATGCTGTGTGATGCTGGGTGAGCCCCTGCCCTCTCTGTGCCCTCCTCCATAATGTGGGTGGAGACAGAACCACCCTAGAGGTTTATTGTGAGGAGTCAGGTTCATTGTGGGCCACCTGCCTGGATGAGGTCAGAGTCAGGCAGGGCTGGGGAGGATGGTGCACAGGGGCGAGGGCAGGCGCCTGGGACAACAGTCAGGTAAAGACTGCAGGGAGCTGGTCCAAGTCCACCCAGGCACTGAGTCAGAGTGCGAGCAGCACCCACACAGAGCCAGGCTTGTTCGGGTAGGCACCAAGCTGTGGCAGCAGCTGGACCATCCCTTACACATAAGGGACAGGCTGGCAGCCTGGCACGGGCTCCTGCTGGGTGGTGTGGCCAACTCTGCGCCCACCTATGCATAAGCATGGCCCTGGGTTTGCATCAGAGGACAGGGAAGGAGGTCTGGAGGCCACTAGCTGAGTGGTGAGGGCCGGGGCTGGCATCGAGCTTGCAGCTCTGCTACTCGGTGGCGTGACTGTGGACGTGACTTGTGACTTGTCCTCTTCAGCTTCTGTGCCCCCATGTGTAAAACGGGGGTCGCTGGGCAGACACCGTGGGAGATGGCAGATCAGATGTGCTCTTGTGTTCAGAGCACAGTTTATTTGTGACATGCCAAGTGGCACAGCACACAGGAGGGAAAGAGACCCGCCTTGGGGGATGCGGAAGGCGGTTGGTGGTGGGTGGGGGCTGCGCCATCTAAACAGACTTGGCTTTGGGGAAACGCCCAGCCCAGGCAGGGAGGTGTCAGACCCGAGGAGGGGGCAAGAGTGGGGCCAGGGAGGCTGAGTGCACAGCAGGACAAGACAGAGGCCCAACGCTGTGCTAAAGCAGTGGGAAGATGGACTTTTCCCCAGGGTCACGCACCACACTCTCACCACACCCCCAGCACTGCATTCCCAAGAACAATTTCCAGCAATTTCTCGCTCTGCCAAATAATATGTGCTCCCTAAAGAAACTTTAGAAGATGCAGACCTGTGAGAAGCTGGATATAAATACAACTAAGGTAAATAATAAATAATAAGTAAATAAATCATAAATATAAATGGCCACAACCCCAGTTCCCTCTCCCAAATAACCTCTATAAATGACTCTCTACATAGCTCCCCAGTCTTTATCTACGCATGTTTGCATATTCTTAAAGTATTCTCCTTGTGATCACGGGGGCCATAACTACAACAGCTGCGGGGAGTTCTCCACCGACACCCCGCACAGTGCACCTCCCAGGCTGTGTAGCTGCAGATGGCTCAGATCGCCTTCCCATCACCAATCTTTTGGGGTGTTATATTATGGGTTCCAAAATGTCCTGGACATCCCTTTTTTGGGCTAAACCTTTGCAGGCTGGGGAGAGACCGCCAGGGTCCTTTGAACCCACAGACATCGGGCTTGCCGGGACAGGAGGCATCTCCCCCAGCCTTGTCTCCCACAGAGGCTCCCAAAAAGCCAAGTGCTTCCCAAAGGGGCCTGCTTGGTGCCAACAGCCCAGCTGAGTCAGTGGCCCAGAGCCAAACACCCTGACACACTCACCAGCGTGTCACTTCCCAAACACCAGCCCAGAAACCCTGAATGATGACGCATGGCTCTCTTTATGCCCCTGACTAACCCAGTCGTGACTTCCGGGTGTCACCTGCCGCACCCGCCTCCTTGACTTCTGGATCCCAGCCCTGACTCACTGACCTCACCCCTTCCCAGCCCTGCTCCCCTGCGGCGGTGTGTTCCGTCCTTCCTCCTGCACACACCCTCCAACCACATTTCATTGACTTCCAGATTTCCGAGAGCAGCATTGCCTACGAGAAACACAAAGCGAAGGAGGCCATCGAGAAGGAAAGGAAGCGGGTGCAGGATCTGGAGAACCACTTAACCAAGCAGAAAGAGGTACAGGCCTCAGCGAGGAACACGCGGAGGAGCCCACAGGGCCACCAGCAGGGACCCCAGGCCTGCCTTCCTCACATGGCTGCAGACTTCCATTAAACACTTCCATTAAGAGTAGGGAGAAAGGAGGGGGTTAAAAATTTCAAGTAGATTAGTTGAGTCATCAGGGAGATCAGGAATGAGTAATGCAAAAAATAAAATGTGTATCATGAAGTCAATGAATGAATGGGTCACAGTTTTTCTCCAGCAGCTACAGTGAACGGAAAGCAGGAAGCTGTGCGATTCGCTAAGTAGAAATGGACCCGCTGCTCGTGGGAACTGGCCCATTCTCTGTGCTCGCCCAGAGACAAGCTCTAGAGACCGTCCCTCAGGGTCCTGCGAAGCAACCAGCAACACTGTCATTGACAGCCTCGGCACAGCGGTGACATCCGAGGGCAAGGTCTTATGACAACCCTCAGGGTAGGCTGGTGGCATCGAGCAGATGAGAGGAAATGGGACTGAGCTGCAGGGACACCCCACTTACCAGGGAAGACCAAGCACAAGGTCAAAGAGCCACCCACGCTTAGACATTTGCATGTGGCCTTACTTGGGGGAGCAGAAGAGCAATGGAAAGATTGGACTCGTCCACAAAATAGAATTCTAGAAGAGAAGGAGACATAAGAAGGCCCAGGGGTCCAGCACAGCACAAGCCAGGTCCTCCTCCACGGCAGGTGGTAGAGGTACCTCACAGTAACGGGGAGGGCCGTGCACATATGGGGGATTTGTAGGAAATCTGTGCCGTCCTCTCGATTTTTCTGTAAACCTAAAACTGTTCTTTTTTTTTTTTAAGATTTATTTATTTTTATTTATACATGCACTGGGGACAGTCAGAAGCGCGGGAGGGTGAGAGAATTCACCAGAGCCAGAGCGGGGAGCCGAGCAGGCAGACTGACGAAGTACACTGCTGAGGGGAGCAGCGGGCGGCAGGAGAGGCCTGCGCGCCATGTGGGACCCTCCTCCGGTGGCCGGGGAGCAGCCGGGGATCAAACCGGCTTCGCAACCCGGCGCTCAACCGCTGCGCCACCGGGGAGGCCCCTAAAACTGTTCTTAAAAATAAGGTCAAATACGGGACTATAACCAAGATGAAAATGCATACATTGTACAAAAATGAAAAATGATGTAAAAAATATATAAAATTTTAAAAAATAAGATCAAATAGAGTGGGACAGGTGCACACATGCAAGAGCAAAAATGTAACCCCAAAAATGAACATAAAAATTTGTTGAAATATAAGGTTAAATAAATAAGTGAAATTCATAAAGCCCCCAGCTCAGGGCTGGCCATGACACCCACAACCCACATTATTTGAGGAAGGTCTCGGGACGAGAGCAGAATTTTGACAAAGACTACAAGAAAGGGTTCCAGGGGACGGGGTGAGACACTCAAGGACTTGGGGACTGGAGACCCCTCCCTGGGACCGGGGGAGGGGGCAGGAGCCCTCCCAGAGTGGAAGACACGCAGGAAGCGGACACGTGTCCTCTGACGAAGGGCGGAAGGAACTTAGCACATTTATCCTGGAAAATAGGTTTAGAAAGAGAGATGACAGCCCTCCTCAAATATTTAAAGGGCTGTCTCATAAAAGAGAAATAAAAGTCACTCTGAGCTCCAGGTGACAGAACTGAGCTCATAGACCAGAATCACAAGGAGACAGGTCGCAGCTGGATGTGAAAAAAGAGTTCTAGAATCATGGGAACCTTCCAGAGAAATCCCAGAGTTCATACTTGAGAAGAACCCACAGAAAGAGAAGAGGCCTCCCCTCCTCTTTGTAAAGGGGGCGGAGGAGGCTGGGGCAAAGATTTATTCCTGAATTGTTAATCTGACTTTTGCTGTTTGTCTAGGAAATAGATTCAAAAGAGCAAAAAGAAGATGTTTTAAACAATAAATTAAAGGATACACTGGCCATGTTGGAAGAGACTCAGAAAGCAAAGATGTCGGAGAGTCTCAAAGCAGAGGGCCTCGCCTTGAAGTTGAAGGAGACACTGGCTGAGCTGGAGACAGCCAAGACAAAAATGGTGAGTTGGTGCCTTGCAGAGAAGGCGCATTTTTCCCTGGATGCACCATCCCGTTGCATGAGAATCTGTGGTTTCTCGGCGGTCTCTCGGCCTCAGCGCTGTTGGGGTAACTCTTTCTTGCAGGGTAAAGGATGTTTCGCAGCAGCCCGAGGGTCTCTTCAGACTTTGCCAAATGTCCTGGGTGAGGAGGTTGGGGGGTTGGGGGGCCAGGTCACCCCCATTGAGAAACATGACTGAGAAAGGTAAGCAAAGGCTGAGATGGCTCTTTCCGGCACATTGCAACACGGGGTCCTCACGGGATCAGCCGAAGGGCTGAAAAGCCCCAGAATTCAGTGAGTGGTGACCACGCTGCAGACATTAAGATGTTTCAGTTTCAGCTCAGCATTTGAGGCCCACAGTCAGGACCCTGACTGCCTGGCTCATGCATTCAGACCTTCCAGCGTCGGGTCTGTGGGCGAGGGGGTAGTGAGACCCATCTCCATATGGTACAAGGACACAAGTGAGTTGGAGAGGGACTGGAGTTGGAGAGACAGGCTCAGGCGTGGCCGGTGGTTGTGGTGCTGTGGTCTGGAATCATCAGGACATGGACACTCAGGATGGCAGGGTGGGGGAGGAAGTCATTGCCATAAAGAGCTACAAGAGAAATGGAGAAAGGGCCTGATGACCGAGGGACGGGACATGGGTGCCAAGGAAAGGGAAGCCAGGGAGACAGGCAAGCTTCAGGCCGGGCGCACCCAGGGAGAAGGAGGCATATGATGAGAGGGCCTCTCAGAGGAGGCAACACGAAGTCGAGACTTGAAACAGGAGAAGGCGTCAGTCCTGCCAGCAGCTAGGGAAGAGTGCACCATGCAGCAGGAACAGCACGTGCAAAGGCCCTGGGTGGGACTGAGTTTAGCACCTGTGGGTACCAAAGGGGCCTATTGTCATTGTCATCCTGTCTGGCTCCCAGGGTCACGCTAGCTGTGTCTGCTTTCCCAGGTCATGATGGAGGAGCAGATGCATCTGCAACAGCAGACAGTAAAGACCTTCCAGGAAAAGCAAGAATCCCAGAAATATGAGTTTGAAGAAGAAATCAGGCAGTACAAGGAACAAATCAAGCAACACTCACAGACCATCGTGAGTCTGGAAGAAAGACTCCAAAAAGTGACTGAACACCATAAAAAAATAGAAGGAGAGATTGCAACGTTGAAAGACAACGACCCGGGTAGGTCTGCAAGGTGGGGAGGAAGCCTCAGGGCTTGGGGAGGTCCTGCTGATGCCGGGGCCTCCGTGGACTGATGGAGAAGGAAGAGCTTGTGCCTGTTCCTTCTCTGGAGGCCCCTTTTCTTCTTGTTACATGACAAAAGTGGGGGCCCTCGAGGCCCAGGCAGACAGAAGTAACGAGAATGAACTAGGGCACCTTTGTGGCAAGCCTGTGAGATGAACAGGCTCAGGTGTGAGGGTGTCAGGGCAGCCTGCCGGGACCATCTTTCCCAGAGGAAAGCATCCCAGGCGGACTTTCACAGGCTGTTCTCTGCCATCAGCAGTCAGAGGCTTGATCTAATGCACTTTCATAACCAACCAGGGCTTGTTTCTTAAGAAATAGACCCCAAAGAGGGAGAGACAGGGTGAGTTTGCAAGCAGCGGGGAAGGAGAGAAGCGGGTGTGTGAGGGTGTCGTGACACGTGTCCTCTGATGCAGCTCAGGAGGAGATACAGCAGGAGGCTCCGGCAGCACCCCAGTCCATGGACAACACCAAAGATTCCGTGTGCGACCACCTGATGTGAGTGCGGGGGTGCGAGGGCCTTCCTCAGGCCGGTCGCCAGAGCCTGGGAGAGGGGTCAGGCCTGAGGGCTTCCCTTGTTACTTGAATCTCTCCATCCCTTTAGCAAGTCAGGATGGTGTCAAGGGTAGATCTGTGTTCATTCCCAACACACCACTGCATTGTGTGACCCTGGGCACGCCACGCCTCCCCCCTGCACCTTGGCATCCGCGTTTGTGGTAAGGAGGTCCCTGCGGGCAGAGTCACTTGGACAATGGGAGCTAGCACTCTGATTAGCTGTTCTTGGGGGGCAAGCCTAATCCTGGGGTGATAAGCAGACAGTGGAGATTCCGGACAATGGAGACACTCAGTGCAGTGGGGTCCTGGAGAGGCTCATGTGTTACTAAGTGGCCTTAGGACCCCTCCCAACTCAAAAGTTCATACCTTATCTGGCACTTCCCAGAAAAACAAAATCCATGCCGGGAAAGCTCCAGAAAACCACTGCCAAGCAGCGTCTAAACAAGAAAGAGCTGGGGAGGTACCGAGAATGGATTCAGAAAGTCTCTCAAAGGAGACCAACCACCAACCTGACCCCAACCCCAAAGTCCACTCCCTGAAGTCTAATCTCATGGGGGATTTTATGCCCAAAAGGCCAAAATATGCAGCTTACATATTTTGAAAAGTTCCAAACTGATTCCTCCTAGTAGAACCGTGACTGCGGGCGCCTGAAGAGGACGCTTCTCTGGTCACTTTAGCACCTGTGTAGACACCTGCATCCTAAAGTTTCATCCTCAAGTAGGAGGTGATGAGCAAGGACACACACGCACGCACACGCATCTGTATATACAGTTATTTCCATCCCAGTGACCACCAACCTGTTTTTTATTTCCTAGCAGACACATACTCTACCTTCAAAAGTCTGTATAAGAGCCTGGGATCCAAGGGCCTGTGTGCTCCAGGGAAGAGGCATTATCACCTGCCCCCAAGACTGAAGTTCTTGGCCCCCTTGGGAGCACGCAAGCCCACAGCTCTTCCCGCTGCCCCCAACACACACAGGCATCTCTGACTTCCCCAGGGCCTCTCAGACACACACCCAGGTTCTTCCACTCAACCCCATTAGGGCACCTCCCCCTGCCATACCAGGGCCCCTCCATGCCATACCAGGGCCCTTTTGGTGCCACGCTGTCCACCAAAGATGTGCCACCTTCTGGGGCATGGGCTCAGGGGTGCCCTCATCTCCCCCTCGCCTTGCCCCCATTGGTTATCCAGCCCCAAGGCCCACACATCTATAAAGGATCCCCTGAACACTGGTGCCTGTCGGGCCCCGCCTCTCCCCATCAGGAGTTAAGGAAATTGGCGAGAACAGCAGCCATATCGCCTTCCGCTGTCTCTTCTCCATCCTAAAGAGTCCCTGAGATCACAACAAAATAGTCTTTCCAGCAAAGAGCACAAAGTCCGCACCTTATCCATTCATGTTGAGGGACCTGGAGCTGGCAGGTGCTTCACGCGCATGGAACCCAGCGGGATCCTTCCTTCTACCTCCATGTATGTCTTCAAATGAAGACGCAGCAAAATGCATTTTTGTTCCGGGACTTTTCCAAGCGCATCTACATCCCCCGGCTGCCCCGGGCTCACCGGGCCACCAGCCGCTGAGGGTCACCTTGCATGTATGTGGTCCCGGGACGCTCAGAGCCACCATGGAGTGAGGAGACTGACTCTGCCTGTTTCTGTGAATTTCAGAGCAGATTTACTGATGGCTCAGAAGGAAATCCTGTCCCAGCAGGAGCTCATCATGCGGTTAAGGAAGGACCTCACTGAAGCCCACAGCCGAATGTCAGACCTGAGAGGTTGGTACGATCGCCCGTGATTCCTGACGTCTTGACCCACTTGGAGACAGGAAGGAAGTGAGGCTCGCGAGTGGAAATGTGTGGCGTTAAACGTGCCCGGGCCCCTCTCACGGCGCCTGTCACAGCATCACTTGGGCTGAGCGCGCGCGGCTCAGGGACGTGGGCCTGGCTCCATAGCTGGTGGCCACGGGGTCAGGACCCCTTCATTCAAATGCAGCTCTCTTTTGGGGGAATCTCTTTTTGTCTTTCGCCAGGATTTGTCCCTGGATGCAAAGACTTGGAAGGCAAACGTGGGTCTGCCTGGGTCAGGGAGCTGGCCAAGCCCTCACGCTCCCCAGCCAAGCCCTCACACTCCCCCGGCCAAGCCCTCATGCCCCCCGGCTGCAAGATCTGAGGGGCTCCCCTTCCTCTGATGCAAATCACCTGCTTCTAGGTGAATGTGGACATCGGGAGGCCACCCAGACCAGGGTGAGGCAGATACCCGCTGTGCTGTCAGTCAGGGGTACGTCGGCAACAGGCTTAACTTCCCAGGGAAACGCTAGAGGCCAGGATGGACCACACACTCTGGGGTGTCCACCTGAGGGTCAGGGAACTGGCCGTGTACCCAGCTCCCCCTGTCACAGGCAGACAGGTGAGCAGAGCAGGCCCCAGAGACCTCAGAACACCCTTAGGCAAACAGAGGAGAAGCAGGCAGCTGAGAGTTGCCCGAGAACCCCAACACGCCAAAAACCACGTGATGGGGGACCCTGATATCATCACTGCCATCCCGCAGGGTGAGGCAGGAGAACGGTGCCTCACGGAGCCAGCGCCCCTGGAAGGTGGTGGTGGTAGCTATTTTGCTGTCATTTGCAAAGATGCAAGCAGACCCCCTGGCCATTACTAAGCCCTCTGAGAACCCCTGGAGGGCAGACCCACCCCAGGCTTCTTGGGGCCTGGCAGACCTGCCACAGCCCCGGCGGAGACCCAGGCAAGAGCCCCCCGCACGAGCTCTCCTGTCCCACCCAGGGGAGCTTACTGAGAAGCAGAAGATAGAATTGGAGCGGAACGTGGCACTGGTCCAGCAACAAAACAGCGAGCTGAAAGGGCTCAAGGAAAAGATCGGGCAGTTGACCAGCCTGGTGGAAAGCAAGGACCAGGAAATGCAGGTCCTCAAGGAGGTGGTCAGGTAAGGGGGGTTCCCAGGCAGGCTTTGCACAGGGAGGGGTGTCTCTGTAAATGCCCCTTGAAGAGTTGGACGGCGGACTGGAAGGATGAGTGAGTGAATGAATGAATGACAGGTGTGTCATTGCTTCTCAGCCTCATCCATTAAAACAGGCCTTTGATTAGTTCTGTGCTTCTTAAAGACGCCTGCCCAATCTTCTGACAGGTCTCAACTTAAGTGTCACTTCCTCCAGGAAGCCTTCCATCCATTGTCACCACCAAACATAGCCAAGGGCTCCTGCTCTGCCTGGGGCTCCTCAGTCCCTGCATTCTGCCTACCCTAGCACTCCTCTCACAGGCATACTGTGCCATTACCTATTAACGCTCTGCCTTCCTGGTGAGGACAGGGTTTTTCGTACGATATTGACTCTCCAGCATTCAAACAGAGCCTGACAATCAGGGAGTTTAACAGGTATTTATCAGACCATTGTATAAGCTGGAGGTGTCAGAGGTCAGCTTGAGACAAAAATAAAGTACCTTTGCCCATGGATTAGTCTTAAAAGCACACTGGAGTTTGCATTTTCATATAACTGCCCATATTTTTATCTGAGTAGTGTTTTCCCCAAGAAAATCTGAGTAAAACTGATGTCTCGTGTAGCCCTGTAGCTTCACCTGCCTGTGAAGGGGCCTTGGCAGGGTCAGAGAGCTGGGACAGACCGGCAGCCAGCCTCAAGGCCAGGCGCCTCCACACGCAGCCTCACGGCCCTGGGCCCCACTGTGTGCCTCTCTCCTTGTCTGGAAAATGGAGCAAGATTTCCCGCCTCGTGGGATCATTAGGAGAAACCGAGGGGCCGGCGCGTAAACCTGTTAGCAACAGTGGACGCAGTAAATGCTTCCACTGGGGCCGCACACCCAGCTGGACAGCCAAGACAGGCAGGTGCCCGCAGCCCTGGCCACTGCTCTTTGCGACCCCTTAAACCAAATCCTCTAGAAATCCATGGGCAGGAGACACGGGGGCTTGGTGACGTCATGGAGCTCCTTTTCCTGTTGGGCCAGCGAAGGGCAGAGGTGGTCCCGGAACCTGGTGATTCTGCCCACCCCACTGCGCATGACCCGTCTCCCCTGCCCTAGGGCCTCGCAGGAGAAACACAAACCCCAGCCGCACAAGGAGAAGGGGGAGAAGCCCCAGGATACGGCCCGGACATGTGACATCTCGGTGCAGATAGACCCAGTGCAAACCGATATCTTCCTGAACAGCCAAGAGGTGAGCGCCCACCCACTCCTGGACACCGGAAGACGTGCTGAGAGCCCAAGGGTGGATTCCTTTGCTTTTGAAAATCACTTCATTCTAAGCCCCCCAATGATGACTTGCTTGTGTGAAACGTACCCAGTAGAACGCGGCTGTCCTGTCCCTCCCATCCCAGGACCCAGAGGTGACGGATGCCAACACCTTGGTATGGGGGTCATGAACTGTTCCCCAGGGGACCACCAGGTTCTGGCACGATGGTGCTGGCCTCGGGGAGGCTGCTGTGTTGCCAGTGACTGAGATCTCAACCTTCTGCACACACACCTGTGCAGATGCGTGTCGCTAGATCACAGCTTAGCAAAATAACAGCGCTCGGCCGCGTACACCCTGCAGTTTGCTTTCTCCTACCTAACACTGTCGGGGGGCCTCTTTTGCAGTAAACATGGAAGGATGGGCCTCATTCTTTCATAGCCGCCTACAACTCCATTGTGTCTCTTTTTCCAGCCACTCCCCTGCTGATGGGTGTTTAGGCCACTATTTCTGCCCTCGCACGAGGCTGTAATATCCTCCTACGTCCGTAGAACAGGTTCCAAGACGTGAAACTGCCGGGCCCAGAGGACATCTTTGGTGCTGCCTGCTGGGGCCAAACCGCCTTCCCGCTTCCATTTTGTATCACCGAGGTCTCCCGGGGACAGGCCTGGGGGGCGGCCCGGCAGGGAGGGATATCCCGCAGCTCATCGCCGGAGGCCCATGGTTTGAGTGAGAACAGCCCCCACCAGGTGACCCTCAAACGTGCAGGGGGCGTCTCCAGGGCTGGGATGCACCCCAGCAGCTGTGGTCAGCTGACTACAGGGTGCGGTGGCTCCTGGAACCCCAGGTTCCCTGGAGTCCAGGGATATCCCTCCCCATTACTGGAGAGTAGGGCGTTTCAGCAAAGGGCTTTGGATCTTTATTTGGAAACAGGGCCAAATGTGTCAGCCTGCCTTCCTGCCTTCTCGGGGATGCCTTCCCCTGCCAAACAGCAGGGAGCCAGGCCGAGCTCGGTCTGAAGGAAGGACTTGGCGGCCGCTGGCTGTCCCGGACACTGACCCAGGTTCAGAGCACTTAGCATGAGTGTGTCCTGGTTGCTCAGAGTGGCCAAGAGCAGGAGCCGCAGAGAGTTGTACACGGTTATGTTCTGTGACGGGTGACAGGGTCTCACTCCCACGGAACCCCAAGTTCTGACTATAATGCCCAGCCCATATTTGCTCACTCATTCAACAATGCCAGGCCTGGGAAGACATACAGGATCCCTGCCCACACGGGACCCCCTCCTCACGTGCGGCATCCCAGGCCGGATTCTTGAGGGGACGCCTGGGATGTCACTTGGCTATTAGAAGGCAGGATAAGTTGAGGGGATGGGGGAGGGAGGCTGCAAGATAAAAGGGCAAAAGTATTTGTTCCTTCTCAGAATGCTTCTCCCCAGTCGGCTGCTTCCTGCTTTCTAAGCCAGAGTGGGTCAGAGGGCTGAAGAGTTGTATGAGAAAGAATCTCCATCGTCTCTAAATAAACAAATTCCCCAAAGAGCCGAGAGTAAGGGTCACATAGAGCCGGAGGACTCTGCAGGCCGAGCGGCCTGGTGGTGGTGGCTGCCCTACCCCCACTCTCGGTGGCTCCTGCCCTCCTCGACACACTCCTGCACACACACGCTCAACGCGCACACTCACACACATGCATGCACACACACACACACATGCACGTACACTCAGTGTGCACACTTACACACATGCATGCATGCACACACTCTGTGTGCACACTCACACATGCATGCACATACACACTCAGTGCACACACTCACACATGCTCACGCACACACGCATACTGCTGCACTCATGGGGTGGGGCTGCTTTGGGGTCAGGCACTCGGGGGCCCCTCCAGGAGGACAGCTGGAGCAGAGCCTGAGGAAGAGACAGACCAGTGGGGGGACACAGGTGGGCAGAGCAGCCCCAGGAGGAGCCAGGCTGCTGGGGCGGGGGGATCACAGGCCGTGTACTCCTGGGGCCAATGTGGCCATCACCCAGCCTGGGACGCGTCGGGTAGGCCTTTACCAAGCATTTGGTGAATCAAAGACAGGATATCTGAGGCTCCTTCCGCCACCCCAGTTTTCTACCCTAGGAAGCACTTGTCTCTTTCTGGGGTGATGTACAAGCTTGTCTGGGTGCTTGTCGTGTCTGCAGAGACGGGCTCCAGGCTGGGACCACCTGCTTCCCTCCTCCCTCCCCAGCACCCAGAACAGTGCCTGGTGCACGCACCCTCTCTCTCTCCATGTGCTTATGTCGTTCATCTCCTCCTTCACCTCTCCCCTCACTCGCCGTTGCCATGACGGATCTCGTGCATTTCATCCACGGCCAAGTCCCCAACGCCTGGACCAAGACTTAGTTCAGTAAGTCTCGGTGAGATGCATGAATGAACGATCCACTGACTCGACAGACACATTTAACTCAGCCCATGCCTGAGCTTCCCAGGGCCCCAGAACCTCTAGAAGTTCTAGGCAAATCATGGCATGTCTGTGAATTTTTCTGGAAGAAGGAACCCTGCATTCTTCCAAATCTCAAAGGAGCACGGAATCCTTACAAGATGACAAAGACATTCCATGTCTGTTCCCTTCACAAATACCCAGTTCTAGTTAGGTGGCTCATGGCTCCCGTGATGGATGGTGCAGACACAGAACATTTCCATCATCACAGAAATTCTGTGGAAAGTCTCAGAGAAAGGTTCTTCTTTGTTCAGACCAGCCAAGACTCGACTGTCACACGCCCCCACGTTAATATCACACAGTCCTCCTTATTACTGGTTCAGAAGAGTCACATGTCACTCCCGGAGCAGAATTGGACATGTTTGTTCAGAGACAAGAGCAGAATGACAACCAATAGAAAGCCAGGCCTAGCAGAATATTAGGGAAAATAGTATTGGGGAGGCAACATGGAGATTTTTTATTTATAGTGAAGCTGAGTAGGTAGGAAAGTTGGCAATCTTCCTAGATGTGACTTTACATTAGAGATGAAACACATGATTTCCTTCTCTTCCCAAGCCCCTTACTCTATTTCCCAAGCTCTGAGTGGCAAGGTGTCTGCTCTCTGAATCGCTTGCATTTCGTCCAATATGAGAGGCGCTCTGATCCCCAGTAAAGCCACCACTGTTCTGGCCACAGGAGCAGTCCTTCAGCGACCTTGGGGCCAAGTGCAAGGGGTCCCGACACGAGGAAGTCATCCAGCGTCAGAGAAGGGCCTTATCTGAACTCCGAATGAGAATTAAAGAACTGGAGAAGGCCCACTCATTGAGTAAGTGTCCAGCTTCCCGGGCCCCCTCGATGCTCAGAGCCCAGGCCTCAGATTCTGGGGTTCATTTCAAGGGCCAGCTAACTTGCCAGGCCCACTGTCTTTTATCCCCGGCCTGTCATAGCCAAAAAGACGTTGTCATACCGACAAGCAGACATCATCTCAGAATCAAGGGCAGACCCTGATATTAGATAATAGGAGTTCATTAAAAACTCCTTTTCTTGTTTCACTGTGGCCCGACAAAAACTCTGTCAAAGATTAACACCATGCCAGGGTCAGCTCTGCAGAACCTTCTTGGATACCCTATTCAGAGGGGAGGGGACTCTCTCAAGGCAGCACGCTGCAGGCCAAGCCACCTGTTAGACCCCATCCTCGTTCCTGTGGCTTGCAGTCACCCCCACTGCCTGGGTACCAGCGTCCTCAAGGCTGAAGCCCAGGTGACCTTGAACATGTCCAGTGAGCGGGCAGCTGGTTATGACACACAGCAACTTTTTCCTGCACTTTCCTTTTGAGTCTAAAGTATTTCTTTTACAGATCATAAGGACCACCTGAATGAATCATTTCTCGACTTAACGGCTCCCAGGATGGAAAAAAATGTCCCGAAAATAATGGACATCAAGCCTGACCTGCCAAGTCCCTCAAGACTAGAGTTCCAGATGGTAAGGTGTCCTCTGCCATGACAGACACATGGAGCTGGGGGTGCAAGGGGGGACGCTGGTTGCGTGGTTCAGGGCCAGTTTCTCCCTGACGGGCCAGCATCAGTACCAGCCGGTGCCCTGCGAGCCAGGGCTGGGATGTTTGAAGCGAAAGGCAGTCTCCCATTTCTGCTCAACGTGATAGGGCGCTGCCCTGACGTGGGGCCAGCCCTGCCTCAGGTGGGCCCTTGTCCTCACGTCATATGTGATGTTCTGCAGAAAATACTCAGCAGCTAATTTACAACATTACATGTGGGTTCTCCTACAGTTTGCTAATCTCTGTAGACTGAAATCCATGCACACAGGCAGGGTAGCAGGATGCCGTGACAACGAGGCCAGCAGCTCAGGGGTCGGGGAGACCCGTGCAGGCCAGGCCTCTTCGGGCTATGACTGTGGGCCTGTTCTCAACCTTTGGGGCTCCACTGCCCATCTGCAAGATGGTGGGAGAGTCAAAGGAGGCCATCATGTGAGGTGCTTACCCCAGGGCCTAGCTCACAGCCAACACTTAATGAATGCTAGCTGCTGTTACTTTTAAAGGTGTTTAAATCATGGCATTCCAGAAAAACCTTCCTTTCTTTGAGGGCATTGTTTCATCTGCCAGGATCTTCAGAAGTGACTTGATTGTTAAGTGGAAGGTACCCTCAGTTTTCAAAGGGTGTTGATTGACACATGGCAATGGACAGCTCAGGTGCACGTCACAGGGTCCAGTGGGCATGGCTTGTTGCCACAGCTGAAGCCAAAAGCTGCTTAGGATCTTGGAAAAGGTAACAAGGTCTTCCTATCTGTGCCGGCATCCCCTCCAACAAGTTTTCTAAACATTTGCTAGAGACGTGACTCTTCAGAAAGGTGTTGGTTTTCTTGAAAAAAACTAAACTCTCAATTCCGAGGCTGGAATAGTGGGGTGATCTCCATGTGGAAGAGCAGCTGAATCCTAATCTGAGCCCCTTTCCAAGATTTATCTCGGCATCGACCTCTAATCCCACCCTTGACAGCACGGAGCAGAAAACCCGCCGACCCACTTAGAAAGCCTCTGTTTCCAAGGCCGGCAGTAATTAAAGTTAAAAGCAGTGAGAGGGGAGGAAGGATAAGTGGCATGTACAGTGTGCTCACGTGTGCCGGGCACTGAGCTGCGCCGTCTACACGCATCATCTCATTTAATCCTCACAACTGCCTCGTATCGTAGTTGCTATTATTGTCCCCATTCTACGGATGGGAAAAATTGAGGCTCAGAGGTCAAGACCCTCCCTCAAAGTCACAGAATAATGCGAGGCAGAGCCAGGAATGTGAGGCTGGCAGCCTGTCCCCAGCACCCTGCTGGGCTGCAGAGGTGGGACTGTGGGATTGAACTCTAGCCCAATCTCCCTCTCTCAGGAAAAGAGGGGCTGGAGCAGGGTGCAGAGGACACAGCTCAAGGGAGCTGGGGACACAGAGTGGCATTTCAAGTTATTTTTGCAGCAGATCTGCCCAGTTAACTGTCATCTCCAAAGACCCCTTTTTAGTCTCATCTCTATAGATGCACAGATAAGTGTCACCTTACCTAGAAGTTAACTTTGAGGGCCTTTATATTTTTGTAGTTGGGGCTTCTTGTTTTAACTTTAGAGGCTTGCAGTGCAGTGCCATCAAATGCAAGAGCCTAAGAGATGCTCATTGCAAGTGCTTAAAACCCAAGTTTGTTTTTTAGGGAGATTTCTCTGCAAGCTCCCTGGTCAGTCTGGGGGTTTCTCCACGCTGTCAGTAGGAGCTTTGGCTGACTGCCGGGGTCCCTGTGAGTGCACAGCTCTCCACACCATCCTGCACTGTCTCTGGAAAAATCTGACGTGCTGCCAGCCCACCAGGTCCAGCAGTAGGAGAAGAGTCACATTTTGTGAGGGTGGTATTCCCGTTCATTAATTTAATGAAGGGAATTTTCTATTGAACCTTCATTCATTCATTCAACAAACATGCTGCCGGTGCCAGGTGCCATACCTGGCACAAGAAGTGAACAAAGGCACGCCGGTGCCTTGTCATCTAGACCTCAGTGCTACTGATAATTTGGGGGGCTGCCCTGCACACCGTGGAACGTTTAGTCTAGTGCTTCTACCCACTAGATGCCAGTAACACCCCCTACTCTCAGTTATGACAACCCAAAATGTGTCCAAGCATTATCAAATGTCCTGAGGGCAGGGGCAGAGGTCAAGCAGAGACAAAATCACCCCCCTCCCTCTGCTGAGAACCACTAGGCTTGACAGTGACTGAAGAACAAGACATTTTTTAAAAAGAGCCGTGCTCGGAAGCTCAAGACACTGTCAGAAGAGAGCAGTGGACGAGGGATCAGACCAAATCAACTCAGCAGCCACCAGGGTTTTAACTTCCGGTTGTAGCAATTCATAATTAAGTGCCAAATGAGGGTTTTCTCTTTTCTTTTTTATTTCAGTCTCAAAATGGCCTTGCCGACTCAGAGTTCATCCCGACCATGGAGAAGTCAGGGAAAAAGGATGTGGTGGAGGCTTTAGATCTCAGCGAAAAGCTGGTAGGTGCTGACGGCCTCCAGCCCCTCCTGCCCGGCCCTGAGACCCCCCCAGTCTGGTGTAACCACAGGGTGGTCTCACGAAACACCAACCTCACACACACCTTTCTTGCTTCTATAGCTCTGTAGGGCGCAGCTCCCATCCCGGCATGGGTCACAAATTGCCTAGTCGAATTCTTTGACAAACTGGGTAGTTCAAAAGAATGTTTATCTCTGTTGTGATTTCTCCCCCGGTTCTCAAAAGAGTGTAAGGTAAATGAGCGTGGGCAAAACAAAAGTCAGCCGAGAGCCCCAGCTGCGCTGATTCCAAAGCATGTGTGTGTTGTCTGCAAGTGCAGAAAATGAATGAAACAGAATTAGACGTTTGCCTCCTCCAGGCCGTCACCAGCGGCCTCGGGCCGGCTCCGACCCGCGCCTCGCTTTCCTTGCAGTACATGGACATGAGCAAAACGCTCGGGACACTGATGAACATCAAAAATCTGTCTGGCCATGTGTCCATTAAGTACCTGTCCCCCAAAGAGCGGGAGAAAGTCAACCATCTCCGACAGAAGGACCTCGATCTGGTGTTCGAGAAGATCACCCAACTCAAGAACCGGCTGGAGAGAAAAGAGGAGCTTTTGAGAGGATACGAGAAAGACATCGAGCAGCTCAGGTACTGCCCGGACCCCCAAGAACGGCCCAGCCTCCACCCTCCAGGCCAAGCCCCAGACACAGCAGATACCTAGGAAGGGGGCGGGAGCCCGGAGCCCCAGGTGGGGAGTATCCCGAACACTGGGGAAGGGGTGGGAGGGAGGGACAGTGACGATAAGTCACTTCGACTTCGTGGGGCAGCAGCCCCTGACATGCTCGGTCCCCTCTTTTCTCTGCTCTCCTGGCGAACAAGCAGTGCCTTTGTGCGTCTTGGCTCAAGTCTCCCACTTCTGTCCTTTTCTTTCTAGCATATTTCCAACAGCCGCAGCTCACCCACCTGCTCTGGAAACTTGGGAGGGGGGCTGGGAGCACAGTCCCACTTGCTGTTCACTCTGCCCCCTTCTCCCCAGGGCTTCATTGTTCTCTCCCGCTTTGTAGGGAAGCTGTTACAGGGCAGCCCCGATACTGAACGGGTTCCTGGCTGTGGGTCCTCACCCGCATGCTTTCAAGGGACTTATGAATACTCCACTACAGGCTACACAAAATGTTAATAAAAGGTTTATTTACAAGGGAAAAGGAAATAAGGAAAATGTACAACTCAGGGAGAAAATAGGGAAATAAAGTCTTTAATGCGTCCTACCCGATCCGCCGACCTGGAAACCCAAAGGCACTCTCCGAGCTGGCCGGATGCTGCGAGCTGGCGGAGAGCCAAAATGGGGGACTCCTCCAAAGCCCACGTGTCTGGCTTTATACCCACCTGGCTGCTTCACCCCACCCTCAGGTCCCAGCCACCTTCCCTTTGGTGGGGATGGGATTTGTCTTTCCCAATGTCCTGATGGCTTTGGCCTGGGGTGGGGGTGGAGTCCACAAAGCCTGTATGGAATTAGCTTTAGGACACCTTTTCCCCCTAACACTACCACTAAGTTAGCCAAATACTAAGAGACTCTCCCAGGCCGGGGGTTGGATGGGGAGTGGGAGAGAGGAGGGGAACAGACCGTCTCCCCGCTCCGCTCAGGCAAAGCAAAGTGTCGGTTCAGATGTACCAGTCACAGGTGGCGAAGCTGGAGGACAACATCTACAAGGAGACGGAAGAGAAGGCCCTGCTCAAGGAGGCCCTGGAGCGCACAGAGCAGCAGCTGCACCAGGAGAAAAGGCTCAACAGGGCCATGAGGCAACAGAAGGTGAGCGGCCCCCGCCATGGCCGGTAGCCCCAGAAACTGAAAGTAGCCCCGGATGTGGCTTCTCAGCACTCTCCACTCTGAATAAAACATCACAGGCCTCTCTCTGCTTGTGTCCTGGGGCTGCCTCCGGCCCAGGACAGTTTCCTTTCATACCCCTGGCGCCAGGCAGAGCTGGGCCCAGCGACAGAGCTCTGGCTTCTCCTTTGATGCGCCCTCTGGAGACTTCAGTGCTCCTGAGGGGCACCCCCCACCCCCAGAGCTTGGCAGGCTAGGCCCCAAAGGGGAGACACCAGACCACAAAATGGGGCAGCAGAGGGCCCCAAAGGGTCATTGTCATGAGCTGGCTGGGAGTGTGAGAGAACCTGAGGATTTGCATAATCAGGCCTCACATGCATTATTCAGGGCTGCCTCTCCCCATACAGCAAGGCTGTGCAGCCTGTTCCGCCCAGCACCCTTTCCTGCAGAAGGCTCAAAAATGGCCAGGTTGAACCTGTGTCCAGGTACCCAGACGAGCTGAGCTGGGGACATGCAAATTCAAGGAATTCACATGTTAGAGCAAGATCTCCAAGGAGGGCAGCCACAGTCACCCCCACCTGACCACACTGCTCAGGGGACGCTTGCTGGGGGTGGGCACCAGCCCCGCATTGCCCACGACCTCTCCCCCAGCAACCCTGCAAGGAATGCTGGAGAGTGTCAGTCCACTCCAGAGATGGGTAAACCGAGGTTGGCAGAGAGAACACAAGCTGGCTGCTCAGCAGCGGAGATGAGACTCTGGCCCACACTTGGGCCTCCCGTGCACCTTTTCACACGCACTGTCCTCCACACCTTGCTCTCCTGAGCTGCCCCCCTCAACCTCCACTCTCCTGGGGGTCTTCGTGCCAGGGTGCAGGTTTGCATTTATGATTTGTTATTAATATGTTGTCAGAAACCCATTCGTTTGGGACAATGTTACTATATCCCAGAGGGACCTCAGATACATCTGTCCCGGCCTCTGTTCTTTCCAAAGAGCATATTTTCATTTTTAAAATAGAAACTAAAGGAACATAGAATTCTGCTTTTCAAATTAAAGTTATATATCTAATATTTTCACAAGGAGGCTTAATTTATTTTTTCTGGTCTCCTGTGTGAAATTTCACCCTTTCACAGATAAGTTGGTTGAAGCACTGGGAAATGAAGTTACTCACCATGAGCTTCAGAATCACCACCCCTCTCCCCAGAAAATATATGCTTGGTGTTAATGTTTGAACATTTCTTCGCCAAGCAGAACTTTCCAGAATCAGAAGTCCTACTTCCAAACTAATACCTTTGGCTGTGAAAACAAGACTTGATATAAAATGCTGGGGAAACCTCAGTGCATTTATGGAGAGCCTTGTGTCACTGGCCTCTTGACTCAGGAATGTCCTGGGTTTGTGGGGACAGTGGCCCAGACTGTGCTCAGTCTAGACCACTTCCCACTTCTCTGGACAAGGCGGCAGCATCTCTCAGAATTCAGTGATAAGCTTAGCTCCCATGCCTGGCCCTGAATGACCTTGAGCAAGGGACTTGACCGCTGTATCTCAGGATCCTCAGCCACCCTAGGTGGTGAGAGACCCACTTCGTGGAGCAGCAGGAGGGTTAAATGACATAGTGCCTGCAGTGCCTGGCACAGGGCAAGCTCATTACTATGGGGGAGAGAAAAGGCAGCTCATGGATAGAGGGGAGCGGTCCCGCATTTCTTTCAGAGAACTTCCTGCCAGCTGACATGTTCTCAGACCCTGAGATGCCTTCCCCCCTCTCCTCCTAAAGCCAGCAGCTCTTTTGTGAAACTCTTTTCTGTTTGGTGAATACAAGTAGGACCACAGCCAAGAAAGGGCCCAGATACTTTGTGTGACGGGTTAGGACTGGAGTTTTCAATAGGAAATGTTTAGATGCACAGAGGCTGCCATCTGAGAAGCACGCAAGCCCTTTCTTAGCCCTTTGCTGAGAGCTGGAGTGGGAGAAAGCCTGGAGTGCACCTGCTGCTTCCCGCTTCAGGAAGCACTCAGCTCCACTTCCGGCCTCCAGCCAGTCAAGACCTAGCATGGGGCATGGCCACAGCTTTGGCAGGTGGTCTCCCCCAGGCTGGAGCCCTTGACCTGCCTTCCCTTGGCTTGGTTAGCTCCGGTCCCTCATCTTTAAGATGAGAATAAAAATGGCGCCAAGCTGATGGCCTGCTATTCAATGAGAACATTCTTACAAAGCCACATAGGGCTTGATACACGCCCTGTACCATCATCATTCTATCACAGTGCTATTGAACTCAGTATTTTCCAGGATTTTCTTGGGTCCAGGTATTCTCCAGATGCCGAGTGCCACTAGTATGTTTTTGAGCAGAGTAGAAACTGGTTGACTTGTACAGGATGAGAACAGGTTGAGGCAGCTTGGGGATGGTCCTCTCCAGCTCATACAAGGGTGAAGCAGTAAAATATGGTTAGGGTCCTGCAGCCTAGAGATGGAAGACGGCTGAAGGAAGAGACTGATCCTCCCAGCCTCCATCTTCTCCCCACCAGTCCCAGTGAGGCCCAGTCTCCTAGACACACACCCCAGAGGTATGTCCCAGAACAGACCAGGAAGGACACATTAAACATTCTCTTGCCCACTTGATATTTTCACTCAGGAGTGTTTAGAAGATCAAGAGCAGAGAAATACAAAAGAATCAACACCTTCCAACTTCTTCAAAGAGAAAGAGAGGCAGGTATGAGGGTTCTTTTGATCTTGTAGTCAGGCACAATGTAGATACAATATGTTCAAAGTTTATAGGGTATAAATGCCAGGGCTTGCTGGGAAGGAATTGCCAGCACTTCTGCTCCCTTCCCCTGCCCCTCCCTCTTCCCACCTACAATCTGAACAAAATCCTGGGAGACCAGCAAGCATCACCCCAGGTCCTGAGGGAAGAGAAGGCCTAGGGGACATGCAAGTGTAGTCTTGGCTGCTGGGACACCCACCCCCACCTAGCCCACACTAAATGATTTGGGGACTTGAAGACAAAGCCCCTAAGAGAAGGAATAAGGAAGAGTGGTAAGTCCCAGGAACCCCTGCCCTAAGAAGGAAATAAGGGCTGAAAGAAGGAAGGGCAGAGGGGAAGTGAGTACAAAATGAAGCCAGGAATGAGGATGGATGTGCCAAGTGCACGGACTTCCGCACCTGCTGGGGGGAGCCCAATTTGATCACGGCCTTTCTGGTAACCATTGGGAAGTGGTAAGGCCAGCCTGGCCCGGGTTCAGTGTCCACTTGGCAGATAGATGTGATGCTCAGAAGTGTTTACTGAACAAAGACAGTCCTGGATTTTCCCCCAGAGACTCTGTGTGATACAATGAACAGCATCCCTGACATCAATGCGATGTTGGCTCACCCAAGTATGAGAACAGCTCTTAAGAGACAGCCTGATGTCATCACAACCCAGGGAGTTCAGAGGAAAAGCAGTTGTGCAAGAGCCAGGTTCTGCCCCTCAGCACTCAGCTGTCCACTGGTTGGACTTAATCCAGGAACATATTTTGGAGCAATGTTCAAACTGGGGTTCCCTTTGGGAACCCTTGGGTTCCTGGGATGGTGCCCCTCTCAACACCCCTACATATACACACATCACACCTTGCTTCCTCCAGTGCCTCTCTCCTCTACTCACCCTTCATGGAAGGCAGAGAGGTTGTTGGTTCAAAACACTGCTTTCCAATACCTGGGAATCCGGATAGCGACTATTATCTGGGCTCAGTTCCTCTCAGCTGTGGTCAGTTTTGAGTGACCGCATGCTCAAGGCCTTTTCCCAAGAAAATGCCTGGAGGACAACTGTCCATTAGACACAGGCCCATGAGCCTCCATGGGGGGGGTCACAAGGGTAGAGCTAGCATCACGCTGTGAGATGGCAGACTTACGAGCCCCTGTCTCAAAAGACAGCCATGAATTTTGAGAATGTTCAGTAGGGTTGATAAAGTTGGGGGGCAACAAATCAAAACAAAGCAGAATGCCCATTTAAACTTTAATTTCAGGTAAGCAAGACACTTAGTTAAGTGTATCTCAAATGTTGCATAGGACACACCTATACTAAGAAATTATTAGGTTTTATTCTGAAATCCCAATTGAACTGGCATCCTATACTTTATCTGGTGACCCCACCCACAAATATTTACTGATGGTGGAGGGGCGGGCTCTGAAGTAAATGAGGCAAGATGGCCGCCCACAGATATATTTCATTTCATTCATGGAACAGTTTTTTTTCCCTAACATTTCAAAATAGGGCACTTCTGTGGGACACTCTGGAAAACTAGGCAGATCCGGAGATGCAAGGTCCACAATCCCACAAGCCACCATCTTCCAGGACCCTAAGAAAGTCCCAGGCTGGTGGGATCACTGGCCCTCTCCACCCACTGCTGTTGCTTCCCTGGCCCCCATAGGACTCAGGCTGGCGCCCCGGAAAGTGCCCAGAGCACGCTGGGAATGTCCCCTTCCCAACACCCTGCACCCTTACCTCCTGAGTGTCGATCTGTGAGGGAGGTCCCAGCTCACTCGCTGTTGTGTCCCAGGGGATCCTCCTTCAGTGAATTGTCCTTGAGGTGTCCTTGAGGAGACCGGGCTCAGCTATAGCGATCACACCCCAGGAACAACAGGCTCCAGGCCCTGTAGCCCCTGACGGGGAAGTGAGTGCAGCTGTCGTCCTGTCTGGGCCCTGGGCGTGCTTGGCTGGAACCTGCTGGGCATCTCCGGCCTCATCCACTGACTTGGGAGGTGCTTCCAGCCAGAGCGAAGGGTCCCCCAAGGAGAGAATAGTGTTCCTCGCTGCCCGCTCCTCAGTTGACTAGCCCCCTCCTCACAGATTCCTCTGGAGTCTGGAACAGAGATGGCCCCAGAGGCTCAGCCACACACCCCTTCTGCAGACCCACAGTCTCAACCCAACCACACCCCAGCCCCTAGAAAGGCCCAATGTGCCAAACGAGTAGCACCTGAAAGTTGAAAAAAATCCAAGTTTCTTTGATGCTAAAGGCAAAAAAAAAAACCATGAGCTAAAATTTTGTCACTGTTCTTTCTATATTAAAGAGACAAATGTTTGTAGAGATGGTGAAGAACAAGATGCAGAACTCGAATTTCCAGGTGAGCCAGAAAGAGAGGAGAGAGACAACAGTGGGGGAGCAGCAGCAAACCCAGGTCATAGGACACGCCACCTGTTAAGTCCTGAGCAGTTGGGTTTGTGGGGCACCAAGCTAAGCCCCAGGGGGACCCCCTCACCTCAGCTTCACAAGGACACTGTGGGGCGGGTCTTACTTTAACCTCACAGCTTAGTAGGGAGCCGGAAGTCAAGGTGAATCCAACGCCCAGGTGAAGACGCAGCTTGACCTAGTGTGGGTAACAGGCCTGATGCACTGCAGGTGCTCTCGCTTTTCTATTTCAGGGATGCATCCGTGGAATACTCTTTTCAAAGAGATGAGAATCCAGACTATGAAATCTCTCAAACATATCGAAACTCTGCCATTCACAATTCAGAGGCGAGCTCACTCGGGGAGCCTGCACACTGCCACATTTTGGTTGAATAAGACAGGTGATAGATTCGAATTTGATAAAAGGCTACAATCATTCTGAGACAACCAAATTATCACTGGAAAAAACTAAAGACATTCCAGGACATTTTTGGAAAACGAAAGCCTCTTCTCAGCCAACACCACTGTTCTAACACCTCCTAAAGCAGGAGGTTACAAGGTGTTGGGGCACCCTTAGAGCCCCCCTAGATCTAAGACCTTCATCCCCTGCAAAGTGGGAATGAGTGAGAGATGTATCCCTTTTCTCAGAAACATATATGCTTAAGTGGGGAGCAGGCAGCTCACCTACAGCTAGTTTTTTTTTTTTTAATATTTAGTTATTTATTTATACAAGCAGTGGGTACAGTCAGAAGCGCGGGAGGGTGAGAGAATTCACCAGAGCCAGAGCAGGGAGCAGAGCAGGCAGAAGGATCGAAGTACACTGCTGAGGGGAGCAGTGTAGGAGCAGGAGGCAGGAGAGGTCCGCGCGCCATGTGGGATCCTCCTCTGGTGGCCGGGGAACAGCCGGGGATCGAACCGGCGCTGCAGAGGCCGCGGGCAGCTTCGCAACCCAGCGCTCAACCACTGCGCCACCAGGGAGGCTCTACAGCTAGGTTTTGTCTGAGGACCATCAGAGAAGTAAAATGACAGAGCATTTGAGGTCTGGAATCTCCTCTATCCCCAAGGGTTTCTTTCCTCCAGCCCCTTGCAGAGTGCAGCTGGGGTCTCCCTCCTCTACTGTGCGCCTCATGCTCTCTGGCATCGGAGCCTCAGTGCCCACTCATAAAAGAATCTCCACCTCCAGTAGCTTCAGAACTGGCCTCTCTTTTCTTTTTAGGGTCCCGTGGTATTTTGTTTCCTGTCCTCCAAAATGCCATTTATCAACTTCATTTTCTTTTTCCATTGCAACTGGAAATTGCAATGGAATTGTCAGTTGTCTGCCAAAGAAGAAAATCTAGTGAGCAAATTTGTACTGAATACCTAATTTAGGCCACACACAGTGCCAGGCGCTGGGCTAGAAGAGTGAGTAACGTCTCATCCATTCACAAATATTTACTGAGTCTAGGCTGTGGCAGGTACTGCCCAGGTGTTGGGCAACATGGCAAATTCTCCATGGGGGCAACATTGCCCCAAGAGGGCAAACATTCTTTGCATGTATAAAGCGCTAATACACATACAATGCTTTCTATAATATTTCATTTTCATGGGGGTGAGAGCAATTAGGAAAAAATAGCTAAGAAAGCTGCTTAGGAGAAGACGATTGTGAAATAAAGGTTGGGGTAGATCAATGAAGAGACCCACAAAACTCCCTGCCTTTCTGGCTTACATTCTTGGGTCACTAAAAAAAAGGAAATATAAGTAATGATTAAATACAAGTGAACACAAGAATGATTAGGTAATTACCTTGCACAAAATGTTTTGAGGACAAAGTCCAGTGGATTGAGCTCAGGGACCCACCCAGTCCAAGGGCCAGGAGAAGATTCTCCAAAGACCTGCGAGGTGTGGGGAAGGACTTCTTTCTAGAACGGATACTTGCACTTGCCTGAAACATCCACTCTGCTATATCCTGAGTTGATTTCCAGTTAATTTCCTAATTTCCAATTTGGGTGTCACTGTTGAAATGTCCTTTCATGCTAAGGAGGCTCCAAACACCCCGGCTGGATGCCTAGGGCGCACCTGTGGCCACAGGTTCAGGGTGGACTCGGCCAGCCCTCCCCAGCCCTGACATTTGCATTTTCATGGCTCACGTTCCCCATCTCTCCCTCTTCCCAGATCAGCCACTGCTGTGCCTTCTGCCACCCTGGGCCTTGTCACTCCAAAAAGCAGACCAAAGCTTGCCCTGGGATGCGCCCCCACATGAGCTCCTAGCAGGCCTGGGGGAGGCGGACTCTGGGACCAAGAATCTATTTTTAACAACTCTCTGGCTTCTGCTCTGGCAGCCAACCCCAGACCAGGTCAGGGCACTGGCATTGGGAACCACCCCAGCCAGCAATTTTGCTAAAAAGCAAATAAAAGATATAAAGGAAAGGTGGTTTACAGGGGAAGGATTTTCAGTGCCAGCTGTCTGCTTTCCCTCTCCCTGGGTGTTCCATGCAGCAATTATCGTGCGGGCTAGCGTGGAGATGTTAGCCTCTCACCCTGAAATTACTTTGATTGCAGAGTCTCAAAACACAGTCAAAGCTCCTGTCGGCCCCTGGCACACGTCTCAGGAGATCATTTTTTTTAAACTTGTCTTTAAAGTGAAAGAGTTGAAGAGATGGTCCTAACAGCCCTTGCAGTGAAACCCTTCCAGAAGCCCCTCTCGACCCCTGTGAAGACTGGAAGGGTATCATTTGAAAGATGAGGAAACCTAGGGTCTCATAGTAAGAGACAGAGCTCAAACCCACTCCCCAAGCCCTCTTCCTCCAGGGGCAGGGGTGTGGTAATGACTGGAATAAAAACAGGAAGTGGGACTGGTCATTCAACCCTAGCTGGGAAGAAATTTACAAGTTGTAATTGCGTCTGCAGTATGCGCAGAGTGGGTGGGATTTTGGGTTGCAATGAATAGAAACCTGTTCAGAAAGAGGAAGAGGCTTCTATAAGGATACAGGAGTGAGAGTCTCAGACAAAGTTATCTCAATTCAAAAGAGAAGTGGTAAACTATCAGGTCCCAGACATATGTGCACACACGTGCATATACACACATGCATGTACATGCACGCACATGTTTGTATGCACACACGTGTGTGCACACGTGCATATACATGCATACATATGCGTGCACACACATGCCTCCTCTGCACCACTCAGTCGCTCTGCCGATCTCATCTCTCTCCAGTCAAGTAACGGAAAGGAATGACCTCATGGTCCTCTGATTCAAAGGACCAACCCATGGAGAGAATAACAGCTCCATGATCTGGAGCATGATTATCAGAAAAAGCTCACCCTGTGCCAAGTGTCAGGTCCCACATATGGCTGCATGGTGGGGGGCAGGAAGGAGCGCAGTGCTCAGAAAGTATTAGACAGACCTCTATCAATATTCTCCTCTTCTCCTCCTAAGACACCAGAGACATGAGACATAAGTCATACTCGATTCAGTAAAGCTTTTCAGGAGAAAGAAGCCACCACAATGAACGTGCCCATCTTTAGAAGCTCCCGGTTTCAAGATCATGAAAATATTAAAAGAGGGAAAACGACTGTTTATCTGCACGGGGCTTTATCAAAATATTAACAATGCTGACTTTGGGGCAGTGTGATAATGGTGAACCATGTTATCTCCCTTTTGCTCTGTGTGTGTGTGTGTGTGTGCATAGATAATATATATATTTATATTTATATAACAGCATATTTGTTTTATTTTGTGTTAAAAATTTTGGGGTCAAATATTTTGGGTCGTCTTTTTGGGACCTCGTTGCAGTGATAGTTTTTACATTGTTTTTCTTGCTCCTTGAAGGTTGGAGCCAGAAAAGCCACCTCGAAGATCGACCAAGAAAGAGAGATACTGAAGAAAGAAGCCCCCGGCAAATCCAACCAGAGCCGTCCATTTCCTAAGCCTGCTGGAAGGAACTAGAACTAGAAACGCCATCCTGCCCAGCCTTGTGTGACCCTCCGTGAGTCCGTGTGACTCTTCTGTGTCAAAATACTAAGATGCTTTTGTAGGACTTTAAAGGTTGTTATCCTCACATTTGCTTCCTAGGCTGGTATTTTGCACAGTGGTATGTTCTGGAGTGCGTGGGGAGAATTGTTCTTTTTATTTATTTTTTTTTTTTTTAAGTTCTTTTTACCAGAAGATACACTGCTGAGAGGAGCAGTGGGCGCGGCAGGAGAGGTCCGCCATGCGGGAAGTGGCCGGAGAGCAGCCGGGGATCGAACCGGCACTACTGCTGGCAGCTTCGCATATGCGCCACTGGGGAGCAATGTTCCACAGGTCTAGAGCCAGACTCCTAGGCCTGGCAGATACAATTGTGTGGTTCCATGTTGGAGTCGTGACGTCCCCGACTTCACACCTCTAGGGAGCTCCAAGTAACGCAGGGTTGAAAATCCCACAAGACGAGTCGTGGGGCCACAGGACAGAATGGCCAGCTCAGGGCTGTTGGGGCCGTCATGCAGTGCATTCATTTCTGGATTTACAATAATAAATTTAGAAGCCAATCCATGTTGCCACTTCTGTAATAATGTCGAACATTTACACAGCACTCGGCAGTTTTCAAAACACTTCTCATGTAATCCTCCCAAACCCCAGGAGGGAGATAGTATTATCTTCCCCACTGTACAAAGGAGACCCAGAGAGGTTAAGTCAACAGTCTAAAATCACACAGCTAGTGAATTCAAGAATCTGGAACCCCGGTTTCTAAGGCCATCTCGCACTGCCTATTCTGAGCTACCAAGATGGCCACAGCGTTCAAGTCCCAGGCCGCAAGGTCAGACCGAGACCCAGCCACCAAAGAACACACACTGCCTGGGGGAACGCAGCCATTTTTCTTGTTGTTTGCAGACACCTTCATCTTGCTTGCTCTACTTTCTGCTTCTCCCATGCCCTGCCCTCTCTCCATCCACTGATGTCTTGTGGGACCAGGATGGCTTAAAAGAAAAAGGTGTGGGGAGAGGGGAAGAAGAGCCACAGTCATAAATATCATTTACTTTTTATTTTTTTAAAAAATCACAATAAAAAGATTTTGATATTTTACAACCAAATGTATTCTTTCATCCTGATTAAAACTAGAAGCAAAGAAGAAACATTCTTTGTGTGATATTCCACTGGGCTAGGCTTGAAAGCCAGTGAGAAAGAGGACAATCACCCAGTCTTCAAAACACTCTCTGAAATCCCATAAATTTTCCATCAAGAACATGCCATGTCCTATCCCAAAAGTCAGAAACAGCAAGTTTTTCTCCAGTAGCAGAGAAGAATATTTGGTCAGGCAGCAGTTCAAAGAGCCAGCTCATGTTTGGAAGCCAAATTGCATGGAATAAATACCTCGTTGGCCGGGCATGTGTATTGAACTTGTATGTGGACAACAGATTGCCTGTCTGACTCCACAGTCATTGAGAACTTTGAAAGGACACATTCACTTCCATCGAATATCATATTACAGCTCATGATGGCAATTTCTTTTCCTCATTCTGTGAGCTAGATAGTTTTGGGGGTGTCTCCTCAGCTACATACCCCTTACCCTGAGACGGCACCCCCCATCAGGTTTGCCCCACCTAACGCTGCTCTCTTGGCCACAGCTGGTTAACCCATAGAGACCCAACCTGAGCCACACCATTAGGCTCAACTTCTAACTCAAGCTGAGCCCGTCAGCATCTCTGTCTTTGATGTTTGGGAATACAGGGATGCCACACAGGTCAGTCTCAATGCAGTTCCAAAACCAGGGTGACCACTTCCTGCCTTGTGTTTGGGGAAACAAAACCAGTCTTCAAAAAGAGACAGCTGGGATGGATAGGCAACAAGAAGACACAAGAAACCAGGAGCTCAAACAGTGCAGCAGACACGGTAGCAGGTGCTACAAGCCCCTTAGTCATCACTTCCCTCTGTGATATAAGCTTGATTGAAGGCCTTGATTTCCCAGCCTCCCTTGCAGCTAGAGCCAGCCGTGTTGTTTAGCTCTGGCCGATGATGTGTGAGTGAAGAGCCCTGAGGAAGTTTCCCTTCTGGAAGAAAAGACAAGACTTTGCTAGATGTGAGCGTTCATCCTTTGTCCTTTTGCCTTGTCTCCTTTCAATCTCCCGAAGCTCAGACTTGGAGCTGCAGCCATTTGTGGGATCATTGGGCGACCAGCAAGAGCTTGAGCCCACCAGCCAAGGACAATGGAGTGGAAAGATAAAACAGGTCCGGGTGCATGCTTGGCAGCACCCCTGAGCTCTGCACCCTACCTGAACTCTACCTGTCTACCTTCTGTGTAAAACGAATAAATCCCTCTCTGCTTAAGCTACTGTAGTCAGGTACACCTGTTTGTGCTCTAGAAGGAACCACTCAAAGCTTAGTGACTGAACATGATAAATTATCTCTCATGGTTCCATGGCATAGGCTGGGCACTTGTGCTGGCCTGGGCTGGCCTGGCTAGAGCAGGATGGTTTAGAACGGCCTTACCTGCACACCTGCTCCGTGGTAGGCAAGTGGGGTTGGGGCCCTGGCCCTCCACTGAGGCAGTTTTGTCCCCTAGGGGATACTTGGCAGTGTCTGCGTACAATTTTTGTTGTCACAACCTGAGGCGGGGAAGGGGGGGGTGTGCTACTATCATGTGTGGGTAAAAGCCAAGGACAGTGCCCAGAATTGCTCCCCACAACAAAGACTTATTTGATCAAAAATTCAGCAGCACTGAGGAGGAGAAGCCCTGGTCTGGAGAGGCCTCAGCTGGGACACTTTGTCTCTGCCTGGTGTGGTTTCTTATCAGCCCGCAGGGAAGGGCAGGCGCAGTCACGTGGTAGCGGGAGCAGGTGCCAAGAGCATCAGGAGAGAGCAAATCCCAAAGCAAAAGCTCTCGTCTGCCTGGCGTTCATTAATATCCTGTCAGACAAGGCAAGTCACGTGACCAAAGTCAGTTTGGGAGAGGCTCAAATTTTTTATTGTCTCCCCATGCCCAGGGTCCTGTTATTTGAAGCCGAATGCACCCCCCTGGCAGACAAGGACAAAGTTGCTTTGACTCCTGATGCCTTTCTGCTTCTCAGTTTATTCCCTCAGAAAGGCCAGTTCTACACCTGCCCTTGGGTTCCACTAAGATCCCGTGTATCACTTGGGAATCTTTGGTTGCAAGCAACAGAAGCTTCCTGTGGCTGAGTTGAGCAGCAAGGAGTTTACTGAAAGGAAATAAGTGAGGTTAAGAAATCAAAGGGCAAGCAAAGCTAAAGAGTCAGGTCAGTCAGGAGCTGCCCCCTTTGGGCTTCAGCTGGTGTAAGTTCCTGTTATGTGCAACCAAAATGGCCTTGGCTCTGCTATCCAGCCCCCTTGGGCAGCTCTGAGAAGCTGCCGGCATCCCTTTCCCTGGGGTTGCACCAAGATACAATCAGGTACGGCAGTCCCCCCAAAACCTCTCAATCTTCTTCTGATCCCAGACAATTTCCTTCTATCCTCGCCCACGGTGGGCCACGGGGATTCTTGGATTCGTGACTCAGCAGAGAAAGTGCCCTTCTCCAGCAACTTGGCAGGGCCACACATGCCTGCTGTTGTGGAAAGCAGTCGTGAAGTTTCTGTTGGGGAAAAAACAGCTTCCGGATCTGCATGCTCCTGGCAGGTGGAATGGCACCCGATCTTTTAGGGTCTTAGAACGAAAGCAACAGACCAACTATGATAGGAAACCCGAAACCCACTAATGCTAATGTGTTCCTCTTTTTCCTGCTGAGGCCTGGCAGGAGGTAGGGCGCCCAGTAAGGGTAGACTATTTCAGCTTATCAACTTGGCCTCATTTCCATCAAGATGTGCTGCTTACATCCGGCTGCTCAGTGTCCCAAGTTATTTTGGGCCAATTCATGACCCTATGTGCCTGCTTTTGTTTTTAAACATTTTTCTCTGTCCATCTGCTTCCCAGGCATCCATCGCAATGCCTTCAGCCTGCGGTGGGACGCATCAGCGGGCTTCTTGGTTTGCTTGCTCTCCTGTTGGCCACACTACTTTCACCCCTGAGACTGGAAAGTATGAGAGGCAGAACTCGTCACCTCTGGCTAACTGTGGTTTCAGCATCACAGAGATCAGCGGTGCCCTTTATATGATAAATTTCGGTTCAAAAAACAGCCTTCATTTATTCAGGCGACAAACAAGGATGCCCACTACGCACCAGGCACAATGACACTGAGCTGACCTCGCAGTCAGGAGCTTTGCTCCGCTTGCCTTCCCTGTGCTGATCTGCTGCCCTCCGGGAAAGCGGTGCAAGCGAGCTCGCATTTCCTGGGTCTGTTGCCTGGGAGAGCTGCGCTGTGACACTCCATCCTTCTTTCTGGCTTCCTGTGGGATGACTGCTGGTCGGGGAGTGCCCTCTTCCCAGAGTCTCCGTGTGCCTTCCAACCCCTGAGGCTGAGCAGCTAATAATAGTGACGACTTTTTATAGTGTCTTTGCCTGCCACCAGGCACATGGTAAGCAGGGCCCAGACATCATCCCCCTTAATTCTCACTATCTGTCTTACTCCTGTTTCACCTGTGAACATGCGTGTAGGTAGGTCAGTAACCTGTGCGAGACAGTCAGAATCCAGACTTTGAACTTTTAATTGCTCAAGTTAGACGACTTTCCTCAGTGAAGCCCAGGAACCAGCAGGTTATCTAGCCCTCTGGGGTTAGGTAAGGTCAACAAGCTTTTCCTGTAAAGGACCTGAGTAAAAGTTCCTGTCCTATAAAGGGCCATTTCATTATGTGCACAACAGGGTCTCTGTCTCCACTACTCAAGATAGCCTTTGCAGCACAGCACCTAAACAAACAAGCGTGGCTGTGTTCCAATAAAACTTTATTTATAAAAATAGCCAGAGGGCCGGATTTGCCAATCCCAGCATTAAACTCTCCCCTAGACCAGATGATTAACTTCTGCACATCTACTGCCTGGTGCAAGACTCCTGGGAAGCTGGATTATCATCTGAGAGCATTCTGAGCTTTTACTAATATAGTAAAATAGTATGCCACACACTATTCATACACGTTCCATACATGTTCTCCCTTAATCCCCTCAAATACTCCAGCGGGAGACAAGGTAGTGCCATTTTATAGTCTATGCCACTGAGGCTAGAAAGGTAAAGTAACCGGTCAAGGTCAGCCCATGGGATTTTCGACCCCAGCTCCTAACCACGATACTGCAGCACCTTTCAGGGTCAGAGCTCTACATCCAGACAAGGAGGAGGTGACAAGGACAAGTGGGCCTGGGGAACTGCCTTTCACCAAAACAGGCTTGCAGGAGACAGTCTGCAGTATCCAAGCTTACTAGCCCCCTTCGAGAGCCACATGCTCTCTCCAGTTAATATCAGGGGTCAGGTGTCCCTGGCCAAAGCACCCTGCTCTCTTTTGCAACTGACTTTGCCTGTTTGTGCATTGCATGAATTTTACAGCTCTCCTTTCAGCTTCCTGAATTCTCAGGTCCCCTGCAGCTGTCACATGCGGTGCTTACTTTCCAATGACTCCTTCCCCTTGCTCACTGAGCAGAGAGCTTACCAAATGACCTCTGGGCCACACTGATGCCCAGGGGCAGAAGGTCACCTTGTTCGATCCCTATCTGATGCTGCTGACGCTGGCCTAAGAGGTGTAGGGGACAGACACTTGAGAGGCTTGTTTTTTAAGAGCTCCTGTTAACTTTTGTGTTAAGTCATGTGGGTACAGAGAGGTGTCACTTTAGCAGCTTCTCTTTCTTAGCAGTGTACTTGAGGCCTAAAAATGGACCACCGGATGCTGTGGAGGGATTTCTCAGCAAAGACCCCATCTGCCCCCAGCCCTCTGATGGAGGTCATCGCTCATTCATTCAACAATCACTTCCTCATCAGATACTTCCCGTCGAGCCTGCTGGGCACTGAGGATCCAAAGTTGAACCAAAGAAAAATTCCCTCCCCCCAGGAAGTTGTATTGGAGAAGAATGGGTGTGATGGGGTCAGATATTATCTGTAATAAATGCTGTGTCCCAGCCAAAGGAGGGTTTGGCAGGAAGAGTTATAGCCTCCCTCAATCCCCCAATGTGGGGCTGAACCCACCCACTGGCTTCTTCACGCCGGCTGGTCCTGCTCCCCCACTGCAGCCACGTGCAGAAGAATTCCAGGCCCAGAGCCTGGTGCACAACACACTTAATAAATATGTCTTGATTGCCCAGAGGTCAATGCATACTACTTTCACGAAGTCATATAAAATCAAAATCAGCTGCCCATATTATCACCAGCTTTGGAAGGGGTCCAGGAAGGCAGCACAGATGCAGCATTGCTGGGTCTTAAGCCACAAGGTACACATACATGCACACACATGGACTCTTGGAGAGTTTAAAAGAGGACTGAGACTCCTAGGCCTGCCTGGTGCTACCTGTGGGCATTGACTGCCTGGGGCTGAACAGAAGCAGAAAACACTTGCAGTTTTGTGTTTTTTTTCCTGCCTGCCCAGTTGTGCATATGCAATTCGTTGGAAAGATCCTGGTTTGCAAGTAGATTCATAGCATCTATGATAACCACAGAGAGAGCGCTCGGACCTGCAAGTGAGACTGTTGCTGGCCCCATCACATCCCCACCCCCTGCCCTGCTCAGGGCCAGCCTGACACAGCTCCTCCCCCACCGCACCCTTCTATGGGCTTCTAGATTCTGCCAGAGGTGTGAAAGCCAGACCAACCAGGCTATGACCCTCTTCCCTGCTATCATTCCTCCAGTTGCTCCAAACAAGTATCTGGGCTGTTTCTGAACCTTGACCTCTGTGCATCTTTCTCAATCCATCACGTGTACCCTGGTGACTACAGAGAGTTTGTGATGATTAATTAGTAATCTGGTATTTGTAAAGTGCTAAGTGAGAGCCTCAGCTTAGGAGACAACTTGATCTCTGCCGGCCTCCCTAATCCCTTCTTGTTTTCCCAGCATCTCTCCGGCTGGAGGGACCACCCAGTTCTTGCAGGAATATCCCTCAAAGTGCATTCCATCTGCCCCCGTGCCCGAGAACTCTCCCACCCCTGCCCTGTTTCTCCCCTCTTTTCCAAAGTGCTGTTGTTTTTCCTGATATTACTTTGCCCCTCCCCAAAAGACAGTTATACAAGTAGATGTGGGAGGAAGAAACGAAACAGCCAACGATGACTAAGTCCGCGTGCTCCAGAAGTGCGGCTGGAATATTGTCAGAATCGGCTCTCACTCACCCCTGCCTCTGTAAAAATCCTTTGCCGAGGGTGTGATTTTTCCTGAAGATCATTCTTTCCACATGACCAAATGCTGTAATGTAGAATCAAGCCAGATAGTTTGTTTCTTCCCTAATCCACGCTTGGGGCACAGCATTCTGAGGCATTCAAAGTGACTTCCCCTAATGAACAAGCAGTGGCTGGTTCCTGAAAGGTTTGTGATCGATCAGTGCTCCTCTCAGCCCACCCTGCTTGTCCTTCCTTCATTAGATCTTTGATTTCTGAATAAATCCTGAATTCCAATGAACTCAGAAGGAAGAAGTTCAAACAAAAGATAGCCGGGCCTCCCTTGACTAACCGGCACATGGGTTAGTCTCAGCGCTATCAAGCTATCAATAGCTACCTGCGGCATGAGTTCGATCCTGGTCAGGGAGGTGACCCACATGGTGCAGCAGACCTCTCCTGTCTCACCTGCTGCTCCCCTCAGCAGTGTATTTCAGTAGATCTGCCTTTCTGTTCCCCACTCTGTCTCTGGTGGATCCTCTCACCTCCCGCCCCCACACCTCTGGCCTATACCCCAATTCTGGTGTGCATAAATAAATAAATAAATATATTTTTTAAAAAAGACAGCTCCCAGCATATCTTTCTGGCTTTCAAGTCAATTCACAGCTGTGGGTCCAGGCAGCGTCTGCACCCATAGCCTCTGAAATGGAACAGTGCACTGGGCAGCTTGACCTCTCAACCTATGGTCACAGAGACTCCGGGCCCTAAAACCCTGAGAATCTGTGAGAAAATCAACCCAAGGGGTGTTCAAAGGGCTTACTCATCCCGGCAGTGCGAGAGCAGCCCTGTGCTGCTCCCGGCGATAACATGCAATAGGCAACCAACAGGGACTCCCCAACTGGGCACCCTTCAGCCCAGCTGGCCTCCGCAGTGTTGTGCCCACACAAGCCAAGTGGGTATTGGACCAGGGGATTTAATACCTGCTGCCAGGGTACATCATTCAAACCTAAACCGCAGATTTTGCACATACACATAAGTCATTTTTTCAGAAGGTAAATCCTCCCCCAATGACTACTTTGTGATACGCTTGTTCCCACATCAAGCAGAGGCAAAACACTGTGTGATTAAGGCAGCCCCGTTCCACAGGTTATAAACCATGAGTTGGGGTAAATTGAGACTGGCCAGATTTTTTAGAGCAATCAGTTACATGTGAAGAAGACTAAGAATTTGGCAAAGCCAAGCATCAGCAGACAGAAATTTTAAAGTTTCAGTCTATACACCCTGCCCCAAGTTTTTTGCATTCCCTAAAAAACAAACTATTATGCTTCTCTTGGGTCCTCCGAGGCTGCATGTGAGAGAGGCAGAAAACTTGCCTTTTGCAAGTAGCTGGATCACACTGCCCCAGACTGACAGAAACCTAATTCTCCGTCTTAACAAACAAAATCGGGTCATTTAAGCCTGAAGATCTTTACTGCATTCAGAAACAATCTCAAGAATAAGTTAATGAAAGTTTCCCATTTTCCGAGCCCTGAAGCTTTTGTTGTGGTTGCTTTTTCTCAATTTCATTCTTTTGCAGAAGCCCTTTGAATTAATCCAGCAATATTCTTAAACGATGGCAAGTGGGCAAATACTGAGGGTCTCTACTTAGGAATACCGGCATTCCTAAGCACATTCCTAAGTGTTCTCCACCTGCAGAGCCCTGGCCTTTCTCTGCCCATTAGCGGGTGAGAGTGGTTTCTGCACAGGGGTCTTTGGTGTCATCCTGAAATTTTAGAGGATAAACCCAAAGCACAGTCCTCCCTCTACATTAGAGAGTCAGTGTGCAGGATTCCCTGGCCGTTTCAGGCAGGTTTCCAGGTCCTGCTGGAGACATCACTGTTGTCTGCCTGGATCTGAGCCTGGGAATCCGTATTATTAACCATCCTGCCTCCCCTTGGTGCTGATGCTGGGGGTCCACAGCTTTGCAACCTCTCCCTGAAGCCCTGTCCCATGAGTTTGTGGAGTGGCTCTCTCTCTTCTGGGGCCCTTGCGGAAATGGCAGCACTGAGATCTCCCGGCCAGTTACCCTCTAGCAGAGTCACAGGCTAAGTAAGGCCCAGGCCCGGCCGCTACTCCGCCGAGTCATCCACGGGGGCGCGGGGAGGTGGGGAGCAACCAGCCCCCTCCCCCTTTTTCCCTCTCTGCCGGCGCCCGCCCGAGGACCTTTCGGGGCTGAGTCCCCGCGCCTTCTCCCTCTCGGCTGCTGATCCATCCTTTTCCAAAGATGCTGCAGCCCGGACCGTGGGGAGATCCAAAAGGGGCTCCCGCTCCCCGGGTCCCCCTTCATCATACCCCTGCAACCCTCACTGCCAACGCCAGTGACGAACATCGAATCGTCGCCATGGCAACCGACAGGGTGTCAGGGACCAAGGATGACGACTTCACTGCCTGGAGATTCCACAGAAGAGGTTGGGGGGCGGCGCCCCCATGCGCCCCTGACCTACACCCAAACCACAGCACAGGAACCCCTCTTCCTTCCCGCCGCGGCCCGGGGCCCCCCGCGCGGCTTTCTCCGGCTCAGCCCGAGACGGGGGGGGTGACTTTTCCGGGCCCCCCGACTCGGCGGGGCGGGGAGGGGCGGGCGCGGGCTGCGCGCGCTCGGCCCGCCGGGGCTGCGCGATGGGGCCGGGGCGCGCGCGGGCGGCGCGGGGCCGGGGCGGGGGCGGCGCGGGGCGCGGGGCGCGGGGCGGGCGGTCGAGGGGCGCAAGTCCCACCCTCGGGGCGGGCCCGGCGCGGGGAGTGTCAGGAAGAGGAAGCGCCGGCCAGAGGCGGCGCGGGCGCGCGGCGAGCAGGGGCCGGGCCCAGCGAGCGCCGCGCGGGCCACCATGGCCACGGACGAGCTGGCCAGCAAGCTGAGCCGGCGGCTGCAGATGGAGGGCGAGGCCGGCGCCGAGGCCCCGGGGCAGCCCGGGCTCAACGGGGCGGCGGCCGCCGGGGCGCCCGAGGAGGCGGCCGAGGCGCTGGGCAGCGCGGACGACGAGCTGAGCGCCAAGCTGCTGCGGCGCGCCGACCTCAACCAGGGCATCGGCGAGCCCCAGTCGCCCAGCCGCCGCGTCTTCAACCCCTACACCGAGTTCAAGGAGTTCTCCCGGAGGCAGATCAAGGACATGGAGAAGATGTTCAAACAGTGAGTGCCCGCCCGGCCCCGACCCCGGCCCCGACCCCGCGCCGCCGGCCGCGCGCCCCACAACTCCGGCGCGGCGGGGGTGGGCACCCTCGGCCCCTGCTGCCTAGTCGCGAGGCTGCGGGACCCGCCACTCCACCCGCTTCTGGGCGCGGGGACCCCCGGGCGCGCGCCCCCTCCTCTGGGGGATGCTGCACCCCAGCACCATGCGTGAGCGCCCCCGGAATGGGGGCCCCGGGGCCCCCTCCGGGTAATCACGAGACTCCGCGAGCCCCCCACGCTGCCACCTTACTCAGAGGTCTGGAGACTCTGGGCGTCTGGCCTAGGACTCCGGCCGCGGCGCTGCCCGCATCACCCCACACTCGCCAGCACTGAGATGGAAGAGCCAGGGAGGGGAGCCCGGGGCCTCCCGTTCCCCCCAACACACCCCCAGGCTGTTCGAATTCCCCACCCCCACCCCATACACGCGGATCACAAATACCCACCACCACCCCCAGCACCTCCACAAAGGTGACCATGCCCTGCACCCCATCCCACATGCATGCCTTCCTTGGGGGTCCTTTCATGGCCTCTGCTTATCTCAGATCCCCTCAAGGTAGGATGTGGGCAGAGCCCCCCTCCCTCTCCTCAGCTCCTGTTCCCCCCCCCCCATCTTCTAGCGAACTGTGGTCAGAGACCTCCAGCCCCTCCCACCCCTATCCCATTAACCCTCGCCCAGACCCTCCACTCTCAGGTCTCCCTAGGGAGGATCCCTCAGTCCCTGGCCCCATCTTCCCCCCAAGACCCCCCTATGCACTGTCTCCTGCTCCCCCCATGCACTGCCCCAGCGTCCTCTCACCCTCCTGCCCCCCCTCCTGTACCCGGCAGCTGTGCCGTCACTGCCACCCTGCTTTGGCTCAGAGGGTGCCCAACTCCTCCCTCTGTCCTGTGACTCTCCTGCCTCTGCTCTGTGCCCCCTCACCTTCCTATCCAGCTCGCCCACTTGCTCTCACCCCTGCCCAGTACTCCATATAATTCATATAGTGTCCAGCTGACTGGACAGGCGCCCTAGACTGCAGGCTCAGCCCTCCCCACCTCAAAACCCCCCTGATTATCTCGTCTCTGGAGGACTCCAGAGAAAAGGCTGCAGGTCCCCTCTGGTCTATCCCTGGGTCCACCCAGTGGGAACTGAAATGGCCAGCCACACACCCCCACCCCAGCACATTTGTGCCAGGGGGTATGCAGGCCCCTCTCTTTGGTACCCTTCCCCACCCCCTCTTGGCCACCCCCCCACCTGGACTGCTGGTTGGGGAACAGTCAGGGATTTGGTGAGAGCAGATTCCTAAAGAGGTAGAACCATCTGAGACCAACTGGAGTCTCAGGTACGGGAGTTAGGAGGTCCTACCTACCCCCAGCCCCGGCAGGTAGGGTGCTGGCCCTCCGTGGCTGGGCTGGGCAGGAGGTGGGGCACACAGCCCACCATAGCAGTTGACCTTCCCAGGTGCAAGCAGGAAGCCCAGGAAGACACTGTCTTGCAGCCCCACTGCTTGAGAAAGACTCATGTCCACTTCTCACTACAGCTGCTTCTGCATTTGACCCTGACACAGGGGAAGAGGTTTTTGGTTCCCAGATCTGTAAGGCTGGAAACCCCATACTTGTGGCCTTTGGGGGTCAGCCTGGGGGGAAACCGACTCCTTGACCCCACCCTGGGCCTCTGCATGGACATCCCTGGGCCCAGTGGAGCCTGCCTCTTTGACTCCAGGGTCTTGGTTGCGAGTCCTAAACTTTCTGCCCCGCCAATGACCGGTCAGGTCAGGATTTCCAAGATTCCAGGCAGAATCCAGATTGAAAGCTCCTTGAGCCCAGGGCTGGGTGTAGCTTCACTGTCTGGAACTTCCTTGAGGAACTTGACCCAGGGGCGTTCCTGCAAGGTTATTCAAATACAGCAGCGATCCCTGTATCAAGAGTACCAGGAACGGAACCCCAGGAACCCCACCTGTAATCATCCAGGTGCTGGTAGGAGAGTGTGAGCGCAGAGAAGTTAAGAAAACGCGCCAGGTCTACACAGCTAGCAAGTGACAATGCCAGGATTCGAACCCAGGTCTGACTCCAAACCCCCTGTTCTTTCCTTCTGAGTTTCCTGTCCCAGACATCCGCATCCACATGGGAAACACACTCCCCCCACACCCCTTTTCACGCTCGAGGCTGATTTTCTGCCTCATGTACCCACCCGCAGCCTGCTCGTTCTTTCCCCCAGAGCCCTCCTCCTCTGCCTGCACAGCATCCCTACCCCTCTCCCCCCACCAAAAAAAAAAAAATCAAGCTGTTTGGGAAAACCCAGACTAGGAGACTTAGGAGGTGCAGCTTGAGTGGCAGGGGCGCGTGACACTGGGAATGGTCTCGCAGCTGCATTTCCAGAGGGAGCTCACTTTCTGCAGAGGCTATTTTGGATGTTGGTTTGATGAGGGGTAGTCTGATGAAAAGGGGCGGGGGAGCTGAGCCCCCTGCAAGCCACCTCTTGGCACCATTGCTGTTTGCTGGGCATCGGGAGTGGGAGGGGGCAGGAAGGGGGCAGGGAGCTGGACTTCTAGGGAAGGAAGTGCCGCACGCTGGGGGCGCCTGGCTGGAACGGAGACCTGCAGGTTTTGTATTCAAGGAAACAAGGCTGCACTGTGCCAGCCCAGCCAGTCCCTGCTGTAAACAGCCAACAGACAGGCTCTCATGGAGGACAAAACCTCCTTCTGCTTCTGCTGTCCGAGTGGGGCTGCGGCCTCCTGTGCCCAAGCAGGGGCTGGGGACCGCAGCCAGGACCTCCTAGCCAGGCTCTTCTGGAAGACCTCCACCCTGGTCTCCAGCTCCTGGGACAGGAAGGAGGGACCCCAACCCTTCCAAGCATCCACCAGAGCCAAGTGCAGGAGATGGGGGAGGTCTGAGGGATCTGGGAGCTGGCCTTCCTCGTAAGCCCGGAGCTAGGAAGCCTGGGCTTGCGGCCTGGCTTCTGCCACTGAATTCCCCATTGGGCTGCCCTCCCTGGGCCTCAGTCTGCCCATCTGGGCAAGGGGCGGGCCGTAGCTCTGATTCCCAAAGGTGATTAGGCACTGACCTTTTTATTCTCCAGGGGTCCTGAACCCTCTGGAAGCCAGAATTGCCCACACGACCTCCGAGATCATCCTTTCAGAGTTTATTCAGCAGAAACCGCCCTGGGATGGAGATGGCAGGAGACCAGAGGAGATGGAAGGGAGTTGACAGATGAGGTGTCCCCACCCCGACCTCACACAGCCAAGCAGTTTCCACCTGGATGAGATCCGAGGGTTGACTCCATCCCTTTTCCCCATTTTATAGAAGAGCAAACTGGGACCCAGAAAAGCATCATAACTTGCTTAGGGTCACAGGAAGGTTTTCTGGCTGAACCAGAGCATCCTGTCCGCACATGGGGGGAGGGAGGTGACACACGAAGAGCTCTGGGAAGGTGCCAGGCATGCGGAGCCGCTCTGTCCTCCCTCCCCTTGCAACCTCAGGCTTCATCCACCACCTCTAACCTCACCCACTCCCCACCTCTCTCTGCCCATCCATCCAGGGCTGCTTCTGGAATCCTCCAGACAAGGGGGAGAAGGGTGCCTTGAGGGTGTCCCTTCTGGGCTGGCAGCAGCCTAGGTGGGACTCTGCTGGGCTTTGTAAACCAAGACCTCCTGGAGGTACCCACGTAGCTCTGAACCCGCCCTGGAATCCGAGGAAGGTGCCCTAGTGCCCTGCCCTGCCCTGCCCTGTCTCCAGCCGCATCATCTCCTGACCCCTTGCGTCAGAGAGGCAGGCTTCCCCCTCCCCTGGACGCCTCTTCCCGCCTGCCCTCCCTCCTCTCCACCTGCTCATCCTGCTCCAGGTGTCTCGTCAGACTCTTGCTGCTCACAACACACACACACACACACACACACACACACACGCACGCACGCACACACGCACACACGTGCACACACGCTTGCCAGTCCTTCCTGGCACAGAGATAATAACAGTATCCGGCTCACCAGGTTTTCATGAAGTGCTTAACCCAGTACTTGGCACAAATTCAGTAGCTCTTGTGTTCCCATCACGGCCATCCCCAGCCCTGGAGGGGTAGCCAGGCCACCTCCACCGCCCCCTCTGAACAGAGTGACCAGACCCGCTGGCCTGGGCCCCAGCGACAGCGCCCAGCATGAGGACCCTCCTTTCTCCTGCCGCCCTGATTGACAGCCACACATGGCTTTGATAAATAACAAAAACCAGGGAAGCGAATTCATTATCACTTAATTACATGAAAGGCAGGCAGCAGGATAAACACCAGCTCTGGGGGACACAAAAGGGGGCCCTGGAGCTGCCCAGCTGAGTGACTTGGGCAGGGCTCTAGGCCTCTCAGCCTCAGTTTCCCTGGGACTGAAGAAACTGCCTAGTGAAGTTCTGAGGATTAAGCTTAAAAAGTCTTGAGCCTTTGTGAAGAGGCCACCTCCGCCTCTGGTCTGTGGGCTGTGAGAACAACAGGAGATGTATTTTTTAAAAGTCACAGCCCACTTGTGTGACCATCCACCCAACGGACAGGTTGTCCCCAGAGGATTACGTGAATAAAGCTCCTGCCCTCAAGAAGCTGATAGTCCCCCGGGCAACACGGGAAGTAGGGAGGATGGGCCTGCCCAGCTGAAAAGGGGAGCTTGCACTTCACCCTGCCTCCAGGCCCTCTCCTTGGCTGGAGCCTCCAGGTCCAGCTGCCCCAAGGCACGCCAGTGTATATTATTTAGGGAGTTCAATTTTTAATCCTCGCAGGGAGGCAGGTACTCCTGTTGTTCCCATTCGCCAGATGAGGATATGGAGACATAACCCAAGACTACCCTAAGGGGCAGACGCAGGATTAAAACCTGCCTGCAGCAAGCTCCCAGGGGCCAAGCAAAGATTATGTGGATGGGGGCAGGGGGCTCTCGAGTCTCAGGGGGTCCCTCTGGGACCCGCGTGGTCCTGCACCCCTGCAGCAGCCCGGAGCCTGGCTTTCTGGGGAGGGT